CTTTATTTACCTTCACTCTTGAACCACAGTTTGGTATGTAATTCTAGGCTGACAGTTTCCTTCAGTATTTTGAAATACTATTCCCTTATTGTTGCAAATAAGAATTCGGATGGCAGTCGAATGCCAGTTCCTTTGTCAGTGATCTGTCTGTTCTCACAGCTGTCAGTCAGGTTTTTCTCTTGAAGCTGAACACTGCGTTTTCACGGTGCTGTGTCATCCTATCTGAGATTTGATGTGCCCTGTAACATGAGGAGTTGGCTTGTCAGGTCTGGAGGGACTCCCAGGCGTTCTCTGGATAGTGCTTCTCCCTACTTCTCCTCCCCCCAGATCACCTAATTTAGACAAAGTTTGGAGCATCTCATTCTACCCTCCATATTTTAACATTGCTTTCACATTTTCCATTTTTAATCTCTGTGCTACACATTGAGTCATTTCCTTAAATCTTCCAATTGGCTACTTCTCTCTTTAGTTCTATCTGGTTTTCTGTTAAACCTACGCAGAAGTTTTCCATTTGTTTTAATGACTATGGTCTTCATGCCTAGAATGTCTCTTTGGTTCTTTTTCAGATTTTTTTTCCCCCCAGAACTACCTTGGTTTACCTTATGGTTTTCATTGCTTCTTCCATTGCTTCAAGCATGTTAAGTGCTTTCATCCTAGAGTCTCTTGCTGATTATTACATCTCTGCCTCATGATGTTTGAGTTCCTCATGGGATCACTCTCTTTTCTTTCCTAGAGGAGAGAGGGCTTTCTTCCCACGTCAGTCAACAGTTACCAACTTGGGTCGTGTGTCTCCACACAGGAAAGCGGGGGGTGTTTCCTTAGACAGAGAGACGCCTCAGGGGCTGGCCTTGTCAGGCCTCCAGAGTGCCCTGACAGAATGGCCGTCAGGAAGCCGGGACCATCCCTGGGAAGCCAGAGCGCCCTGACATCTTGAATGGCCGTCAGGAAGCCGGGACCATCCCTGAGAAGCCCCTCTGCCAGTCCTCCAGGGCACATGATCTCTCTGAATGGGCACCTAGTGGTGAATTAAAGGTATCTCTGAGAATTCTTCAACATATTCTGGCCCTTTGTGATCTGAAAAAGTCATTTAACTATTTATTTCTTCTGTTAAAAAAAAAAAAAGGTATCTTCTTTATATATATGGAGAAAAAGATAAAGTATTTTAACTATAAGACCTCGAAGAAAAGGTGACATATGTTTTCTTTAAAACAAATAGTTTAATTTCATTTTTATCTGTAAAAACATACAAGTTTAAAAGGAAATAGCAAGAACTCTGACATGTCATCGTGTCATTTTTTTTTTAAACGGTACTAGAATTTGTTCAAAATGTGAAGATACAGAACTATTATAAATTTCTGGAATCAAAGACTCCAAATACAGTTGAAAACATATTAGTTATAAAATGTCAATTCACAAAATATTCCATTTTCTCTGTTTTTTATCGGGAATATTCTATAGAAACACTGTATACAAAATAAGGCAGACTTGGAAATTCAAGTATAAAATTTTTAGGAAAAATAAGTGTGAAGTCCAATTTCTTTCACTTTGGGGAGTTGCCCGCAGAGCCTCACCTTGGGGAGCTGCCTGCAGAGCCAGTGTTGCAGCTTTGGCTGCTGCACAGAAGAGCCCTTTCGAGCTCTTCTGGGGTCACTAGTTGTTTTTCAGTCACTCAGTTGTGTCTGACTCTCTGCGACCCTATGGACTGCAGCATGCCAGACTTCCCTGTCCTTCACTATCTCCTGGAGCTTGCTCAAACTCGTGTCCATCAGGTCGGTGATGCCATCCAACCATCTTGTCCTCTGTCATCCCCTTCTCCTCCTGCCTTCAATCTTTCCCAGCATCAGATTTTCTAATGAGTCTGCTCTTCGCATCAGGTGGCCAAAGTATTGGAGCTTCAGCTTCAGTATCAGTCCTTCCAATGACTATTCAGGACTGATTTCCTTTAGGGCTGACTGGTTTGATCTCCTTGCTGTCCCAGGGACTCACAAGAGTCTTCTCCAACACCACAGCTCAAAAGCATCAGTTCTTCAGCACTCAGCTTTCTTTCTGGTCCAATTCTCACCATCTGTACATGACTACTGGGAAAACCATAGCTTTGACTATACAGACCTTTGTTGGCAAAGTAATGTCTCTGCTTTTTAATACACTGTATAGGTTTGTCATAGCTTTTCTTCCAAGGAGCAAGTGTCTTTTAATTTCATGGCTGCCGTCACCATCTGCAGTGATTTTGGAGCCCAAGAAAATAAAGTCTGTCACTGTTTCCACATTTTCCCATCACTTTGCCATGAAGTGATGGGACTGGATGCCATGATCTTAGTTTTTTTTTAATGTTAAGTTTTAAGCCGGCTTTTTCACTCTCCCCTTCCACTTCCATCAAGAGGCTCTTTAGTTCCTTTTCACTTTCTGCCATAAGGGGGACATCATCTGCACATCTGAGGTTATCCATATTTCTCCCAGCAGTCTTGATTCCAGCTTGTGCTTCATCCAGCTTGGCATTTCACGTGATGTACTCTGCATATAAGTTAAATAAGTAGGGTGACAATATACAGCCCTTAACATATTCCTTTCCCAATTTTGAAGCAGTCTGTTGTTCCATGTCTGGTTCTACCTGTTGTTTCTTGACCTGCATACAGATTTCTCAGGAGGCAGGGAAGGTAGTCTGATATTCCCATCTCTTTAAGAATTTTCCACAGTTTGTTGTGATCCACACAGTCAGAGGCTTTAGTGTAGTCAACAAAGCAGATGTTTTTCTGGAATTCTCTTGCTTTTTCTATGATCCAATGGATGTTGGCAATTTGATCTCTGGTTCCTCTGCCTTTTTTAAATCCAGCTTGAACATCTGGAAATTCTTGGTTCATGTACTGTTGAAGCCTAGCTTGGAGAATTTTGAGCATTACTTTGCTACCATGTGAAATGAGTATAATTGTGTGGTAGTTTGAGCATTCTTTGGCATTGCCTTTCTTTGGGACTGCAATAATAATATACCTTTTCCAGTTCTGTGGCCACTGCTGAGGTTTCCAAATTTGCTGGCTTATTGAGTGCAGCACTTTCACAGCATCATCTTTTAGGATTTGAAATAGCTCAGCTGGAATTCCATCACCTCTACTAGCTTTGTTCATAGTGATGCTTCCTAAGGCCCACTTGATTTCGCATTCCAGGATGTCTGGCTCTAAGTGAGTGATCACACCATCATGGTTATCTGGGTTATTAAGGTATTTTTCTTGTATAGTTCTTTTGTATATACTTGCCACCTCTTCATAATATCTTCTGTTTGGATATCTTAATCTTTTTCTGTTAGGTCCATTCCATCTCTGTCCTTTATTATGCCCATCTTTGCATGAAATGTTCCCTTGTTATCTCTAATTTTCTTGAAAAGATTTCTAGTCTTTTCCATTTTACTGTTTTTCTCTATTTCTTTGCACTGTTCACTTAGGAAGGCTTTCTTATCTCTCCTTGCTGCTTCTTTGCAACTCTGCATTCAGATGGGTGTATCTTTCCCTTTCTGCTTTGCCTTTCACATCTCTTCTTTTCTCAACTATTTGTAAGGCCTCCTCAGACAGCCATTGTGCCTTTTTGGATTTCAAAACAGTTTTCCCAAGTAACATCAATCAAAAAAGCCTAACATACACAAATAATTCTCTCTTTTTTTGCATTAAAAAATTTTTTTTACTTATTTTTTTAAAAATTTTAGTTGGAGGCTAATTACTTTACAATATTGTAGTGGTTTTTGCCATAAATTGATATGAATCAGCCATGGGTTTACATGTGTTCCCCATCCTGAACCCCCCTCCCACCTCCCTCCCCATCCTATCCCTCAGGGTTGTCCCAGTGCACCAGCCCCGAGCACCCTGTCTCATGCTTTGAACCTGGACTGGCGATCTGTTTCATATGAACCTGGTCTGGTGATCTGTTTCATATATGATAATATACATGTTTCAATGCTATTCTCTCAGATCATCCCACCCTTGCCTTCTCCCACAGAGTTCAAAAGACTGTTCTATGCATCTGTCTCTTTTTCTGTCCTACATAAAGGGTTATGGTTACCATCTTTCTAAATTCCATATATATGTGTTAGTATACTGTATTGGTCTTTATCTTTCTGGCTTACTTCACTCTGTATAATAGGCTCCAGTTTCATCCACCTCATTAGAACTGATTCAAATGTATTCTTTTTAATGGCTGAGTAATATTCCATTGTGTATATGTACCACAGCTTTCTTATCCATTAGTCTGCTGATGGGCATCTAGGTTGATTCCATGTCCTGGCTATTATAAACAGTGCTATGATGAACACTGGGGTACACGTAACATACACAAATATTTCTATAGTGCAGTAAAAATGTATCATTTATTTTACATTTGCATTATGAAAATAAGTCTATACACCAAGTGATGCATATTTTTAATGACTATGAATCATGTAAATTTGGTCATGGTATCTAAAGTTGGCTTTGGCTTTGAAGTATTTTTAAATTCATAGAAAATAGTGAACTTCTAATAAAATAAATAAAACATTTTAATAATTGATATTAATAATCAACTTCAGAATTTCTTTGTCTTTTTCATTTGCCATTTAATTTTAAAAGAGAAGTCACTTTCAGTAGTGTTCCAAAGTGAGTGATTGCACCTTCTATGATGTGGAAAAGATCCGATTGCCATTAGCTGTTCCTAAGTGCTGAACATAATCGAGAGCAACTGCAACAAGACATTCTCTGTCACCGGCAGAAACTCCGTTATCGTCCTTGGCTAGGCCTCCCGAGCTCAGGTTTGGACAAACGGATGCTGATGCAAGCTGTGTTCTCTGAGACTCTCTGCGGAGCCCTGGTAGCAGGCTGGCGCAGTGAGTGAACGAAGCCTCACTCTACGGCAATGGCATCAGGTGGTTCAGGATGGTGACCCTGGGTGCTCTCGCAGGCTCTGTGCGTCAAGGGGCTGATTGGCTAATACTGAAAGGAACGCTGGCCACCCTCAGGAGTCCCCGGTGACCATGGGGTACTGCGCTATTCGGGGGGCGGGCGCAGGCTCCGCAGCTTCATGTCGTCCAGTCCTTTCCAGTATTTAAAGTTGTTGTCGAGATGGTGCATTAACTCGGGCAGGTCTACAAAGGCTGCAAGGAAGACGGGAGTGTGGTAAGATTGCATCTTCCCAGGGTGCACATGGAGGCTTTCTAAGGAGGGGGACAACAGGAGGGGACAGTGCTCCGTGCTTGGCAGACATGGCACGGCCCGGGGCCTGGGTAAGCTGAAACCCCAGCTGACAGGTCTGGCGGATGGAGCAAAGGGGTTTGCCGGTTTTGTCACCATTAATGAGCAGCCTGGGGCCTGGGCTGCCTGATCCCGGCCCCGAGCGGCTCTCCTGGGCGTCCCATCCCCCTTCCTTGGTCCCATCCCCTTCTACCTGCAGCACGTGGCACGAGCAGCGAGCTAGTGAAGAAAACATGGGCCAGGAGTGCCCCCGCCTGGTCTCGGCCCAGAAGCAGTGAGCAGAGCCTGCAGTCTGGCCGGAGGCCCGAGTGCCTTCCGCCACCTCAGTCCTCCGTCCCCCGCCTCTCAGCACCGAGACATGGGCTCGTCTCCTGCTGACGGGGTCCGGACTGGACGTGGGTCTGCCTCCCGGCAGGGCCCCTTACCTCAAAACCCTCTACCTGCCAGGGGGCTCCGCCCGCACTGAGGGCTACGAGGAGGGACGTGCCCCCCGTCAGAGACTGGCCTGCCCTCAGGTCGGCTACCGAGGGAGGCGGCGAAGCTGGGGGAGCGGACAGCGGACGAGCTCCCTCAGAAAGGAAGTGGTTTTGAAACCGGGGCTTTTGGCCAGCAGCCCCTTCAGCCCCATGTTCAGTGCTCTCATCTTTGTGACTGGGACAACAGGTAGCCCTGGAGCCGGGGGCAGCTGAGGAGAAAGAGCAGAGAGCGCCCCGTCCTCCCAGACCCCCTTGACCACGCCTGGCTTCTCCTTGGCCTCTGCATACTGAGCCCCCAAACATACTCTACCACTCAGAACATCACTATGCACTACTTAACGGGGGCTCCCCGTTACTGAGGGAGACCCATTCCGCGCGTTCTTACCGTCCCAGGCGTCAAACATGTCTGTGATGAAGTAGTCGATGAAGGAGATCTGGGATTTGGGGATGCTGCAGGTATTTCTGTCAAAAACTGGCATCACCACAGGCAAGTCCCGTTGCTTCTCTTCGTCTGTCTGCAAGGCAGAAAATGCCAGAATTGCGAGACCCCAGGACCAGGCTCCATGCCCACCAGGAGCATTCCCTCCACCAGAGCCTCTCCTGGCAGCCTAGAGAGCTCGTGGGAGAAGCCGGTCACAGCGCCAGCCAAGCACCTGGACCCTCCAAGACATGTCACGTCGTCCCCAAGGGGACCACCCCACCCACATCTTCGGCACCTGAAGCCTCCTGCCGAAGCTCCTGAGGCTGCTGTGCGGGGTTCCTGCAGTGCATGAGCACACCAGTCTGCCCAGCCGTCGCCCACCTGTGGGCGCGTCAGGGGCCTGAGCCAGGGCCACAGTGCGGAGTGAGAAACAGCCCCCTCCACAGAGAAGGGACAAGTGTCTGCTTCTCACCTCAGGCCAGATTGTTTTATTTAAAAAAGGTCTGAACACCCTTGAGGCAAAAAGGCTCTAGGGTGACGATTTTATGTACTTTGATAGACCCTTCCAGAACATCTTCAGTATTCCAATAATATGTGTACAAAACTGGAAATATAATGAAGAACCTGGTGGGGGGTGGGAGGCAAGTTTATCTTAAAAGATATAAGGGAATTTCTTATTCTTTGTTTTCATCATGTTGCTTTCATCAAAGGATCCAGGAGAAAGGATGAAGTGATGCCCGGAGGGTGATGATGAAGCAGGGGGTTCTTCCTGGACTGAAGTATGAACTCGGAGGGTTTGAGGGCACCATTGAAATCACTGAGAGTTCCCTGGGGAGCCAGGCAGCCAGGGCTGAGAGTTAAATAGATGGTTACCCAAGGGGCAGGATCAGGGGTCCTGAGTGCAGGACCAAGTAAGGCTGGGGTGAGCCTGGAGAAAGGACTGGAGCCATCCCCTGGCTCTGGAGGCACAGCTGTCCTCAGGGGTCCTGGGTCTTTGTTCTGTTGGTCTGAGCAGGCTGCCCTGTGGGCAGCTAGTGAGAAGGTGATGGAAGGGGCAGTTCAACATGGAAGACAGGCAGGGAGTTAACACTTAGGAAGCCTGGTGTGGGTGCAGGAGTTGGCTCTCTAGGGGCATACAGCAGAGGGGGGTAGAGATCCTGGGACGAGTGGACCTGCTGACCAGTCCTGGCTTCTCTGGAGGATGGTCAATGAGAGCAAGAGCTGAGGACGGGAGGTATGCAATGCATTCGGCCATCAGCCAGAGCCTGGGTCTGGCGGCTGAGCTCTGTAGGGCTGTGTGAGAGTGAAGGACCTCTGTTAAGCATCTAATATGGGGACCAGAATTCAGGTGTTCCACGGGAGTAAAAGACCTACACTTGGGGCTGGAAGCCTGTCCCCCCAACTTTTATACCTGGAACTGTTCCCACAGGGCAAACTGGGCAGTCCTCCTTGTCCCCCCAGCCTAGGGCTGCTCTGGACAGCTGGCCAGGAGCTGCCTCCCCGGTTCCGTTCCGCTTCTATCCTGTCTTTTCCAAGACCTGGCAATCACCAGCAGGGTGGCAGGGACTGGTGAGAAGTTACGGCCACCTTGCCCTGCACGTCGGTGGGTCTGAGGCCCGAGACGCTGGAAGAACTGGGCTCCACAGCTAAAGGCAGGGGACAGTGATTCACTACAGCTCTCAACATGCACCCTCCCCTGGAGGACAACAGGTAACCTCTGGAAGTTCCCCCGGAGGGGCCGTTCTGCATGTAGCACCGTGCTGCAGTGATGCGCTTATGCTAGGAGGTGCTGACTGTGCTGGGGACAGTGCCCAGGAAGAGGCCTGGGCTCCTTGTGCAGGTGGATGGTGCTAGGCTCTGGGCCAGGGGAGAAGCCAGCAGGAGGAGCCGCTGCTGTTCCAGGCCTGGGAGCAGAGGCACACAAGCTTGGCTGCAACTGCTCAGGCCAGGCTTTCCTGAGAGGCTGGGCAGAGACCATCTACACCAGCTGTCGGGCCAGGAGCACAGCCCAGGAGGCGTGGGAGGCAGGGTCGGGGGCTCTAGGCAGAGCATGAGTAGGGAATACTGACACGTCTGGGTTTCTGCTCTCAGGCCAGTGCTGGCTCAGCAGGGTCAGCTCCGTGTGCGTCTCTGCCCTGGTGCATGCACACGGTGGTGGGTGCAGAGCAGCCTCGGGTTCACAGCCCACTGGCCTGACTGCTCAGAGAGCAGGGCCCTGGGGTGGGTGCTCTCCTGACACGCCTTCCCTGGGCAGCTGTTCAGTTAAGAATCCCGCATCTGTGTTCTTGAGGGTAATGAGCTGTAACTTTCTCCTGGGATACCTTTGTCAGGTTTACGTACCAGGATAATAACAGCTTCAGAAAATGAGTTGGAAAATGTCTCACCTCTGTTTTCTGGTTTAATTTGTAAGACTAGCATTATTTATTCCTTAAATGTTTGACAGAATTCCTCAATGAAATCATTTAGAGTTTTCTTTATTAAAAAAAAATCATGAAAACATTTTGACAAAAAATTTCTTTACTATGGACTTTCTAAGGTTATTACTTAATCATGTCAGTTAGGGTAAATTGTATTGACAGTGTTTAAGGAATTCATCCATTTCATCTAAGTGGTCAAATTTATTGTGACATTCCTGATATTGGTGATTTGCATTCTTCTTATTTTAGCTGCGTATTTACCAATTTTGTTAATTTTGTCAAAAAAATCAACTTTTGGCTTTGAAAATTTTTATTATTCTTTTAAATATTTCTTAATTTTTATTTTATACTGAGTATAGTTGATTTACAATGCTGTGTCAGGCTCAGGTATACAGCAGAGTGATTCAGTTATACATATATCTTTTTAAAAAAATTTATTGGGGTATGGCTCACTTTTAATGTATTAGTTTCAGGTGTATAGCAAAATGGATCAGTTATATATATATATCTCCATCCATTTTTAGCTTCTTTTCCCATATAGGTTATTAGAGTATACTGAATGGTGTTCCCTGTGTTATACCATAGGAGCTTGTCGATTATCTGTTTTATATACAGTAGTATGTATCTGTTAATCCCAAACTCCTAATTTATCCCTCTCCCTTGAAGTCTGTGAGTCTGTTTATGTTTTGTAAATAAGTTGCTTTGTATCATTTTTTTAGATTTTTCATAGAAGCTGATATGATATTAATACTTGTCTATCAGATTTACTTCACTTAGTATGATAATCTCTAGGTTCATCCATGTTGCTATAAATGGCATTGTTTCATTTTTATGGCTAAATAATATTCCATTTTCTTTTCCATTCCTGTCGATGGACATTTAGATTGCATCCATGTCTTGGCTATTATACATAGTGATGCAATGAACATGGGGGTGCATGTATACTTTATGATTTTCCTAGAATATATGCCTAGGAATGGGATTGCTGGATTATATAGTAGCTGTTTTTAGCTTTTTAAGGAACCTCTATACCTCCATAATGGCTGTACCAATTTACATTCCACTAACACTGAAAAAGCTGGCTTAAAGCTTAACATTCAGAAATCTAAGATCATGGCATCTGGTCCCATCACTTCATGGGAAATAGATGGGGGAACAGTGGAAACAGTGTCAGACTTTATTTTTTGGGGGCTCCAAAATTACTGCAGATGGTGATTGCAGCCATGAAATTAAAAGACGCTTACTCCTTGGAAGGAAAGTTATGACCAACCTAGATAGCATATTAAAAAGCAGAGACAACACTTTGCCAACAAAGGTCCGTCTAGTCAAGGCTATGGTTTTTCCAGTGGTCATGTATGGATGTGAGAGTTGGACTGTGAAGAAAGCTGAGTGCCGAAGAATTGATGCTTTTGAACTGTGGTATTGGAGAAGACTCTTGAGAGTCCCTTGGACTGCAAGGAGATCCAACCAGTCCATCCTAAAGGAGATCAGTCCTGGGTGTTCATTGGAAGGACTGATGCTGAAGCTGAAACTTCAATACTTTGGCCACCTCATGTGAAGAGTTGACTCACTGGAAAAGACCCTGATGCTGGGAGAGATTGGGGGCAGGAGGAGAAGGGGATGACAGAGGATGAGATGGTTGGATGGCATCACTGACTCGATGGACATGAGTGTGAGTAAACTCTGGGAGGTGGTGATGGACAGGGAGGCCTGGTGTGCCGTGATTCATGGGGTCGCAAAGAGTTGGACACAACTGAGCAACTGAAGTGAACTGAACAGTGTAGGAGCATTCCCTTTCTCCAAGCCCTCTCCAGAATCTGTTGTGTGGAGACATTTTGATGAACGTTCCTGACTACTGTGAGGTGGTAAATGATTATATTTTTGATTTCTATTTCTCTAATAATTAGTGATGATGAGCATCTTTTCATGTGCTTTGTGGCTATCTGTATGTTGTCTTTGGAGAAATGCCTATTTAGATCTGGCCATCTTTTTATTGGGTTATTTGGGTTTTTTTGATATTGTGCTATATTAGCTATTTGTTTATTTTGGAGATTAATCCTTGTCAATCACTTCATTTGCAAATATTTTCTCCCATTCTGTGGGTTGTCTTTTCATTTTGTTTATGATTTCCTTTGCTGTGCAAAAAGCTTTTAATTAGGTCCCATTTATTTTCATTAATCTAGAACTGGATCCAAAAAGATATTGCTGTGATTTATGTTAGAGTGTTCTGCCTATGCTTTCCTTTAAGACTTTTATAGTATCTGGTCTTACATTCAGGTCTTTAACCCACTGAATTTTGTTTTTGTGTATGGTGTTAAGAGTTTTCCCGGCACCACTTACTGAAGAGACTGTCTCTTCTCCACTCTGTCTTCTCACCCCCTTTGTCACAGATTAAGGACCACAGGTGCGTGGGTTTATTTCTGGGCTATCTTGTTCCATTAATTTGTATTTCTGTTTTTGTGCCAACACCGCAGTGTTTTGATGACTATAGGTTCACAATATAGCCTGATGTCAGGGAGACTGATACCTCCAGCTCTGGTTTTCTTTCCTGGGATTGTTTTGGCTATTTGGAGTCTTTTGTGTTTTCATACAAATTTAAAAATTTGTTCCAGTTCTGTGAAAAGTGCCATTGGTAATTTGGGAGAGATTGAACTGAATTTGATTGCCTTGGGCAGTATAGTAATTTTGACAGTATTGAGTCTTCCAATCCAAGAAAGCCAGAAGCGTCCTAGCACTAGAGCCTGCAGGCTGCTGGGTGGGGACAGGTCTCAGTGCCAAAGCGGTGACCTCCAGGAGAGCTCAGCTGAGGAATATACCACAGGGCCTCCACCACTGGTGTTCCTGCCCCTGCAGTGGGCCACAGCCGACCCCCGCCTCCAGGAGACCCTCCAAGACCTGCAGGTAGGTCTTGTTCAGGCTCTAATGGAGTCAACTGCTCTGCCCTGGGCCCCAGGGCCCATGAAACCTTGTGAGTGCCCTCAAGAGTAGAACCTGTCTCCCCCAGTCCTGTGGCGCTCCTGCACTCAAGCCAAATTCTCTGGGGGCTCCTCTCCCCCCCACCCCAATGCCAGACCCCCAGGCTGGGAGCCTAATGTGGGCTCAGACCTCACTCCTGTGGGAGAACCTCTGCAGGTGTGGGATTTGATTACATCATGAAAGTGCTCCTCCCCCTGTCTTGTGGTTCCGCTTGGTCTTTGGGTGTAGAGTATCTTTCTAGGTAGGTGCCAATCCTTCTTTGATGAGGTTGTTCAGCAGTTAGTTGTGATTTTGGTGTTTTCATGAGAGGAGAGGAGCTCAAGTCCTTCTACTCCACCATTCTGTCTCCTTTAATTTTTTCTAGTGTCTCTTTTCTGTTTCATTTTTTTGCTCTTACGTTTACTTCTTTCCTATTTACTTTGGGTTTACTTTGTCTCTTTCTAGTTTCTTAAACTGAAACCTAAGATGTTAACTTTAGGGCTTTTCCTCTAATTATAAATGTCCCTCTGATCCCTGTTGTGCTTGCATCCCACAATTTTAATATACTTTGATTAATCCTTTATCTAAACCATGGACTATTTAGAAATGTATTGTCAGTTTCTGAATATTTGGTGTTTACCTAGGTACCTTATTGTTACTAATTTCTGATTTAATTCCACTGTGCCTAGAGAATAGATTCTGTATGATTTCAATTATGTTACATTTACTGAATCTTTTATGTGACCCAGCATGATGCATATTAGTGAACATACCAGTGTCCTTAATATTCTGTAGACATGTGATACAGTGTTTTACAAACATTAAGTAAGGTAAGGTGGTTGACAGTGTTGTTGGGATTATGTGTTTTTACTGATACTTTAATCTGGTTGTTCTATCAATTGCTGAAAGCGGGTATTAAAATCTCCAACCATGTTGTACCTGTCTCATTGATTTTGAAGCTCTGTTATTAGATACACACACACTTATGCTTATGTCTTCCTATAGGACTTTTTATCATTATGAAGTGTCTCACTTTATCTCTGGTACTATTCTTTGTCTTGATGTCTATTTTGTCTGAGATTAATATAGCCATTCTAATGTTTATATTTACAGCTTCCATGGTATATCTCTTTCCACCCATTCACTTTACACCTCTCTGTTCTTTATATTTTAAGTGTGTTTTGTAGACTGCATGTAGTTGGGATTATTTTTTCAAGATCCATCCTGTCTTGGAGTGTTTAGTTCACTAAATTTAAGTAAGTATTGATGATTAGAGTTGGAGCTGCCATTTGACTGTTTTTTTCTATTATTCTTGTTTTCTCCTGTTGCCTTTGTATAATTTAACAAATTTTAGAATTCCATTATAATAATATATCTATCTATTAGCTTTTAAGGTAAACTGATTGCTCTAGGGATTACTAAATATATCCTTCACTTCTCAGTCTACTGAGCTAATATTATAACACTTAATGTAACATGTAGAAACCTTGGATTCAGGTAGGTCCATTTTACTTTCTGCCGTCCTTTATGCAATAGTTGCCATATAGCTTATGGTTACATATATTATATCCTTTACAATTCAGTGTTATAACTTGTGCTTAAAATAGTCCTATGTATTTAGAGAAATTCCAAGAAGGAAAAAACTTTTATAGTTACCCAGCTGTTTATCATTTTTTAAAGTTTTTATCTTTTTATTTTTACTGAGGAATTTGATACACAGCATTATATTAGTTTCAGATGTACAACATAATGATTCAAAATTTTCATATATTGTGAGATGATTACCACCATAAATCTACTTAACATGTCACTATATATAATTACAAAATTTGTCCTATAATTACAATTTTGAACATCTATTCTCTTAGAAGTAATACAGTACTGCATATTTGAAAGTTGCTAACTACAGTTCCCATGCTATACATTACAACCCCATGACTTCTTTATAACTGGGAGTTTGTACCTTTTGACTCCCTTTAGCCATCCTGCATCCACTCAGCTAGCAACCACAAATTTGTTCGTAAGATTCCACATATAAGTTAGATGATATAATAGTTGTCTTTTTCTATTTCACTTAGCATAAACCACTTAAGGTCCATCCATGTTGTCCCAAATGGCAAGATTCATTCTTTTTAATGGCTAAATAATATCCCATTATGTGTACACATACATACCCACATCATCTTACTCACTGACCTATCAATGGATGTTTAGGTTGCTTCCAACTTGGCTATTGCAAGTAGTGCTGCGGTGAACGTGGAGTGCATGTATCTTTTGGGGGTGGTTAGTGCTTTTGTTTTCTTTGGATAAATACCCAAAAGTAGAATTACTGGATCACATGGTAGTTCTATTTTTAATTTTTTGAGGCATCTCCATAGTGGCCTCACCAATTTACATTCCCACCAACAGTTCACAAGGGCTCTCTCTTCTCCACATCCTTGATGCTACTCATCTTTTTGATAGTAGCCATTCTAACAGATGTGAAGTGCTATCGCATGGTTTTGTTATTTACCATTTTCAGTGCTACTCTCTCAATCTGTCCCACCCTCTCCTTTCCCATGTGTCCACAAGTCTGTTCTCTACATCTGCATCTCTATATCTGCCCTGCAGATAGTACTGTTTTTCTAGATTCAACATATATACATTAATACATGATATTTTTCTCTTTCTGTCTTACTTCACTCTGTATGTGCCAGTCTCTAGGTTTATCCACCTCATTAGAACTGACAAATTCTTTCCTTTTACATGTAATGGAATATTACTGAAGCGACTGAGCACACACACACCACAACTTCTTTTATCCACTCATCTGTCAACGGACATCTGGGTTGCTTCCATGTCCTGGCTATCATAAACAGTGCTGCAGTGAATACTGGGGTACATGTAGCTTTTGAGTTATGGTTGTCTCGGGGTATATGCCCAGCAGTGGAATTGCTGGGTCATATGGTAGTTTTACTCCTAGTAATAGTTTAAGAAGCCACAGTGTGACAGTGTTTATTTTGCCTTCATTCTTGAAGGATATTTTCACTGGATACAGAATTTTAGGGTGACAATTTTCTCCTAACAACATTTTTAAGATGTTGTTCCAATGTCTTCTGGCCTCCATAGTTTCTGACATGAAGTTATTGTAAGTAATATGTCATTTTTCTCTGAGTGATTTCAATTTTGTTTCTATAGCTTTGGCTAGTAGCTGCTTGAGTATGACATATCTGGGTATGGGTAGATTTGTTGAGTTTCTTAAATCTGTATGCATATATCTGTCACTAAATTTGGAAAAATTTTAGCCATTATATATATATATATATATATATTCTGCCCCCCCCCCACGAGAATTTTTTTCTACCCAGAGAAACTGGGAGGGGCAGCTAACAGTGTAATAATATCTTTAAAGTGCTATTAGGAGAAAATGTCAAATATCTGCTGAAAATATCTTGTAAGAATGAAGGCAAAGGCAAAATAAAACACATTTCCAAATAAGGGAAAACTAATAAAATTCACTGCCAGTAAGCCTGTAATATAATCCATGTTCTTCAAGGACAGAATTTCATTTAGAACTCCACTTCTAGTTTTAAGTCCATTACTTCCTATGGTCCTTATGGTGTTTCTCTCTTTTACTTGAGGGAACTTCAGAAGCTGCATCTTACCTGAGAGAAATACTCTTCTGAGATGCGTGCGGCCCACTCGATGCACTGCTCCAGGGGCCGGCAGGGGTTGGACACGTCAGCACACTTGATCAGCATCCGTTTGATCAGCGTCCGGTTCTCTGGAGTCCTGAGCATGGTGTTTATGGCTTCTTGATCTTTATCAGTTTCCTAAAGCATGAGTGGAATTCAAAGCAATCAAAACGGGACCCCAGGTACCAAGCCCTGTTTTACTGGTGTGGCCCCACCGTAACCACGGTGAGGCTGTCTGGGATCTACGGTTAGGGTCTCTCAAAATAGTGCCGGGGAAGCTCTGAGGTTGGCCCCCACTCTACAGCGGGGAAAACCAAGGCCCAGTGAGATTCCAGCAGACCCGGAAGTAGAGCACAGCACTGCTGGCATATCTGCCTTTCCCCATCTTGACTCTGTTTCTCACAGTTGCCTTTTCTTTCTATCACTCACTCGCTAAGTACTCAAAGACTGGCTTTATCTTTTCTTATTTATATTCATTAAAAAACAATGTGAACTGAAAAGTGAAACTTTTCTCTGCCCTTATAACAGGCAGTCTTGTGGTCTACCAGGGGCTCTGCTTCTCCCCACCCAGCCCTGGGAGTCCACCATCGGTGTACCACAGTGTGTCGGACACGCTGCTGTTCCCTAAACTCTGCCCTCACATTTTATGGTGGACAGAGGACTTAGTCACAGTCTTGTGATCTGCACTCACAAAGATATCTTGTGGTAGGCATGAAAATCAGTATAATTCACCATTAAATTTTACAGATGAGGATGCTGGGACTCCAAGAGGTGAAGAGACTCAGCCAGAGGTACTGAGCTGACCCAAGGTAAGAGCGTGAGTCCTGCCTCTAGTCTTGGACTCTGTCTCTCCAAAGTAGTGCCTGCTGTCTGACTCACAGGGAGCCCCTCTGGAGATGGAGCCTCAGCCCATGGTGTGAGGGGCCCTCTGCTTACTGGCCCCCTGAAGCAAATTCAGGTTGGAAGAGGGAGTACTGGGTTGAAGACATGAGCAAGCATCTCTTCTTTCTGATTCTGGGCCCATCAAGCAGCTTTCCAGAGGAATCAGCCACGTGGTTTCTGTGAGCAGTCACAGTCATCCCCTCTCAGTGGGGACAAGATGGGTAGGGGGGACCCTGAGCCCAGGCTGCCTGGTCTCTTGAAAGTGACAGAGACCGTGTCCTCAGTGATTCTCCACATCTCCCATTGCCCACCAGCTTTGTGCTGACCCTTCTCTCTGCAGGGGTGTGACTACTGTTCAGTACTGCCCGCCGGGAACTATTTTCTTCCACCAGCAATGATCCACTGGATCCTGGTTCCCAGTCTCTCAGTAAAAATCCAAGTTGTGACAGCAGAGAGGAGGAACATGACTGTCAAGAAGAATGAAGCCTCCGCTGAGTCTGCAACTTCCCAGAATGAATGGAGGAAGCCAAGTCTGTGAGGTACGTGGTTTCTTTCTGTGAGGTGGGGTCAGCTGGGGTGTCTGTGCATGGGAGAATGACTGAGTCCTTGGAAAGGGCATCAAGTCTCTGACAGACTGGAGAACGGGCAAGGGTGAGGAGAGCAGAGTTCTCACCAGGTTTCAGATCAGGTAAGACAGGGACAAGTGTGAAGGGTGATAAACTAGAAAGCCAGGGACAGACATAAGCCACAGCCAAACAACTGAGCTGCAGCAGTAGAGTTGGAGCTCAAAGGGCTCTCCTCTTGGGATAAGTCATCTCTGTGCTCGCAAAGACTGGCAGGGGGGTGATAGGGGTTGGGGAGGAGGAACGTGGGGTTGGTGGTCATGCAGACATGGGCCTCAGGGAGAGCATGTTCTCCACGTGCTGCGCTCACACTGAATCGAGCACAACAGGTGCTGTTTATCCAGAGCATAGCTTGTGCCACATCCTCAGGGTTGTGCCTTGAGGGCTATTGTGCCCATTTGAGACAAGGAAGCGGAGGAGGAGAGCTGAGAACTCAGACTGGCTGCTTTCTCAGCTGTGGGCTCCTGTCTGGGGAAGCAGTTAATGTTCTTCTCTTGCCAGAAAGTTCTGGACTCCATGCCTCAAATCCAAAAACACCAGCACCCTGTGGTCCAAATCCAGGAGCCTCCCCAACCCCCACCCTCCTGTGATACAAACCAGCAGAGGACTGGTGCGGTTGCCCAGTAGGCAGTGGCTGGTGAGAGACCTCATGGCTCCAACTGACCCCAAGATGCTCAGAGAAGGGGAACGGGGCACCTGCTGAAAAAGGGTGCAGGAACGGCCCACCTGTCTATCATCAAGTCCCTTCAGAATTGTCATGTTTTTTCTTGTATGTCTTGCCAAGTCTTTGTACTTTAATTTCCATTGGTTAAACAATTATTTATATGTAGTGAGCCCAGTGCGGGGATTATAATACTCATGATCTCTTAAGCCCAGGTTTCCCCACAACACATAAGAGGAAGGGCCCTAAACACAGACTCCATTTGCAGTCAGCTCACTTACCCCATCTTCTTCTAATGCTACCAAGGGCTTGTTGATGATGTTGACAAATTTGTTGACATGCTCAAAGTGTTTTGTCATTTCTGTGGCTAAGACCATGTCGATGATACCCTGGCGCAGAGTCTGGTAGTCATTCCTGTTCAGACAACAAACGAGAGGCTGCTGCTGATTACTGATCCAGACCAGACAGGTGCTCCTGAAAACCAGCTGTGATCTAGGACCTGTGTCCACTGTGGCTGAAATTCTAAGGAACTGCGCAGCAGTGGCAAGGCATGCTTTAAAGAATGTGAAGGTTAAAGGTTGCTGCCTAGACTGCTATTAGTAAGGAGAACCTGAACAGAAGTTAAAATGAGAATCTTTGGGTAAAACTATGTGGTTCCCTGGTAGCTCAGCTGGTAAAGAATCTGCCTGCAATACAGGAGACCCTGGTTCTATTCCTGGGTTGGGAAGATCCCCTAGAAAAGGGATAGGCTACCCTCTCTAGTATTCTTGGGATTCCCTGGTAACTCAGATGATAAAGAATCTGTCTGCAATGAGGGAGACTTGGATCCCCTGGGGAAGCACATGACAACTCACTCTAGTATTCTTGCCTGGAGAATCCCCATGGACAGAGGAGCCTGGTGGGCTACAGTCCGTGGGGCTGCAAAAAGTCGGACATGACAGAGTGACTAAGCACAGCACATGCGTAAGACTATGGATGCAGTGTTGGTAGTGTTGTCATAAGCAAAAGGCATATAGTTCTTAAGATTAAAGAAAAGCTAGAACACAGCCAGCTGGGGTTATTAAGAACGTACCCCACACAGAGGAACCTTGAGACGCAACAATTTTAGAGCCCAGAAACACAGAGGGTGGACCATCTGAAAGCTGAGAGAATCAATGGTGCGTACCTGATTCCTCTTCCTCTAGCCCTTTATATTTATTTTAAAAATTTATTTTTTGAGGATCGAAACCATTTAATTAAAAACATAAAAGGTACAAAGAGTATAAACTGAACTCTATGCAGCTATGCTGTTCTTTTCCCTGGAGACAGTCATAGTTGTCAGGGTCTTGTGCATTTTTCCAGAGATAACTGATGTATGTGTAAGCAACTATGAAAGAAACAAATTTTAAGTCCACATATGAAACTCTAAAACATAGAAAAAAATGGAGGTTTTTTTAAAAAATCCCTTAGGTTTAATAACTTCCCTTGAAATCCAAATTAGTAAGAATCCCTCATGACAGATCACTTCTGTCTAACAGCCCCACCCTAGACACTGCTGCTGCTAAGTCACTTCAGTCGTGTCCAACTCTGTGTGACCCCATAGATGGCAGCCCACCAGGCTCTGCTATCCCTGGGATTCTCCAGGCAAGAACACTGGAGTGCGTTGCCATTTCCTTCTCCAATGCATGAAAATGAAAAGTGAAAGTGAAGTCACTCAGTCGTGTCCGACTCCTAGCGACCCCATGGACTGCAGCCTACCAGGCTCCTCCGTCCATGGGATTCTCCAGGCAAGAGTACTGGAGTGGACTGCCATTGCCTCCTCTGCTAGACAGTGAGGGCACCATGAAGAAGAGAAGACACTGTAATCTCACAGCATCACCAATCAGACATGAGAAGTTTGCTGGGCAGAGTTTATTGGGAGTCTGCCAGGCAGAGATGTAAGATGACAGCTTCTGAATCTGTCAAGGTGTTGGCCTTACACTGTTGTCTTGAAATGTTCAGGACACAAAGGAACTGAACCTTGAAAACATCATGCAACACAGAAGACCACATCCTCGGGTGCTTCCATTCGTCTGAAATGCCCAGAACTCACAAAGCTACGGAGGCGGAAGGTAGATCAGTTTCTGCCTACCAGGGGGCAGGAGAGTGACTGCTCAGGAGCTCAAGGTTCCTTTGGGGGTAATGGAAATGTTGTAGATGTCGACTATACAGATGGCTGCACAACTTGGAATATACCAAAAACTCCGCACGCTTTAAATGGGTGAACTGTACAGTACCTAATTATATCTCAACAAAATTCTTTTTTAAAGAGCAAAAGGAAACATACTTTCCAGCTCACTGTTCTTACCTCTCCATGTTTTTAAAGATGTTGCACTTGTCATCGCCAGTGGTCAGCTGGAAGGCCAAGGCCGCATGGTGGTGCTCCAGCACAGCCATGTCGTTGTACAGAATGGCCAGCTCGCTCCCGGCATTGCACAGGAAGGAGTTGGTCCTCCCAGGGTGGTCCACATCGTGGATAGTGGCTGCGATGAGCGCAGCGACCTCATCAAGTGGGTCTAAAGTTTGCTGAAAACAAGAGTTCTTTTAAAAATGGGGGCATGGCACTGAAAGAAAGGTAGCCTTCTGTGTAGTTCTCTTTCTGCCCTTCTGACTTTAAGGTAAGAATACTTCAAACTTCTGAGAAAAGCAGAGTGGAGCAAATCCAGTTTTCCTAACTCTACTCAGAAATAGTTTCATCTTTGCATGTTTCAGAGGAAACATTGTCGGATTCTCAGTCTCACACAAGTTAGGGATTTACCAAGACACAGGGTGTCCTCACCCGACAGGAGTCACCTCCTCAGCCAGTCTGTCTTTAGACCCATCACAAAAAAAGGTCCTTCATCTGAGGTATTGACTTACTACTTCGAACGTTACTTTGATTTAAAACTTTATCAATTGGGAAAGTAAGATCCCACATGCCATGTGGCATGGCCAAAAGTTTTCATTTAAAACTTTTAAATACAGAAGTGCATGGTACTTTCTTCTAGTATTCTCCATTTCTAATGTGTATATTCCTGTTTTCTGTATTTTTGATTAGTCTGGCTTGCAAGTGAATTCTCTTGGTTGTTTCAAAGAACAATCCCAGATGATCACTTTGCTCTTCTCATTCTATAGGTTTTGATACATAGGTTTCTCATTTTGTTGTTTTCTGTTATTTTTGGTTTTATTTCTTTGTTTAACCCCAATTTGTTCGAAATATTTTTTCATATGCAGTGGCTGACATTTTTTTATTTAAGTTTTTTTGAAGTATATCAAGACTGTGTCTTAGTATCAAGATCATTTCTGGAAATATACACCTTTTCTTCAAGTGTTCGTAGGATATCTAATAAACCAGCCTTGTAAATTTATTTAAATTGAAATTCAATAGTTTTAACTTAAAAAAAGGTTTTTTTGGCCATGCTGCATGGCATGTAGGATCCAACCAGGGACTGGACCTGTACCACCTGCATTGGAAGCATGGAGTTTAACTACTGAACCACCAGGGAAGCAACCCAGGTAGTTTTAACTTTAAATGGGTGAATTTTATGATGTGAATTACATCAATAAATTGTTAAAATTAAGTTATTAATAGCTTTCTGAATGTGTATTTGTATGTTATCGATCAAGGAGTTTCAAAAGCAGTAAATTACAGCAAAAATTAGGTTGCCTTTATGCTGAACCACACTGACATAGATGTCTGTCCTCTGCCCTCTGTGTTCATACTTTATAGAAACAGACCTCTCCCTGGACTCTTGTTCTACCTACGGTCTTAGTCATGACCTTTAGTTAAAACAACAACAAAAAACCACCAAACAACACAACGAGAGGGAGGCTGGACTTGCCTGCCCTGCACTTGTGCCAGGAGGCTGACCTGTCTCATTCCTCATGAGGCCCTGATTTCTCACTGATTCTCCGATCTCAACTACTTCCACAAGTGAAACAGCCATGCACTAGCGCTCCCTAGGCCTTCTGTGCCAGCTTATGGTGGATGCTGACGGAAATACTAATAATACAAATATTCTGGCAAAGCAGTGCATGTCTAGTTGCTGCTTTCGACATTTTCCTAATGAAATAGGTTACAATGTGAAAAGCTTTCTTAGGAAGCTTGGTTTGGAAGTGGACAGTGAGAGAAGAAAGTGCCATCCAAGGCACTCTGCTGGCGCTCTTACTGTGACACAGTCACATTCCCTTTGCTCCTGAGCCCTCAAAGCTGGAGCTAAAGTGGCTCCTGTTCTAAGGTGGAATACCCAGGGCCACCTGGATATTGGGAATTAGTTATCCACTCCCCAGAGCCAGGGTGTGGTCCTGCTTCTCAGGAGGCCGCACCCTTCCAGGGCCAGACTGTACCCTACACCCTGCATGCTACCCCTGCTGTGAAGCACTGGGCCCCAGCACAGCTCACCTTGATCCTTTCTTTGCACAGAAAGTAGGCAGTGGCATGCAGCACATCAGCAGAGTGTGTGGAGTTGTGGTAGGGGTTGGAAGCGTGATAATTGGCTTCGATCATCTGTAACCAGGATCTCAGTGTCGTTTCGGGGCATTTTAAGAATTCACAGACTCCGAAGCGAGCGAACACTTTGAGACCAAGATAAATCAAAGGCCTATAGAGAAAAACATACACATCATTAAGTCAAAGTAGAGAAACAGGTAGTGTGTCTGATCTGTTTGGATCCAACAAGCAAACCTGAGCCAGACTTCAGGGAGCGAGCAGGGCAGCAAAGTGGGGCCTGTGAGGGTGGCCTGCAGGGGGTGCTCTGTCATCCTCTCTCCTGGTGGCCAGCACCAGCCCTGGGCAGAGCCCAGCTGCAATTCTGGGGGCACCCGCCTGGTGCTCCCCACTGCCCTAGCTGCTGCAGAGTCCTCCCGGCACCAGGAGGGTTTCCAGGTCAACATGCTGCCAGGCTAACCCCATCCTCCCCTATGGCCTTGCTGGACGTGTGTCACTGGCCAGACGTCTTGCTGGAAGCAGATACCAGTTCCCCACGGCAGCACACCAGCCAGACGCTGGCACACATCACGTGATGGTCTCAACACTCTGAAGGTGGGGGTTTCCCCAGACAGGTGACCAGATGATGCCAAATGAGGCCCGTCCTTGAGAGTCACCGTCACCCAGCCTCTGCCCTTTGCTCTTGGCTCTGTTGAGGCAGTGTCCAAACCGGCTGGGCTCCCAGGACTTGGACAGACCTGCCCCGTCCCAGCTCACATTAGGACGTAAGCCAGTGCCCACAGCTTTGTCTGCCACTGGCACTGGCCCTGTGGGGCACGCGGATGCAGAATGTCTCAGAAGCTTGACTCGCGCTGAGTGTGAGCAAAGGGCAGGGCTGTCACAGGGACCACCACCCACCCTGGACGGGACCTGACGAGTCTCCTGTAACCTCCTCTCTCTGCCTGTCTGCTGGGGTCCACGCCTCACCTCCTGAAAGGTGGCGCTGGCTGGCATCAGGTCTGAACGCCCTTCCCGTGTGCCAAGCCAACCACACTCCTCTAGCTGAGTGTTCTCCAGCGAGGTATGAAATGGGAGGGGAAATCCAGCCCCACCCTGCTCTTGGGGACCACACTCAGGTCAGGATGCTGGAGTGTGGGGTGTCCCCATGCCTGTCACGAACACAGCAACTAAGATCTGGGGACAGCTCTTATCAGCATGCACATCCGTGTATTTATTTATTTTTTTGGCTGCACTGAGTGGCATGTGGGATCTTAGTTCTCTGACCAGGATCAAACCTAAGATCCCTGCATTGGAAGTGTGGAGTCTTAACCACTGGACTGCCAATGGTTCTGAGCTCTGAAGTGAGGCTCTTTGCTGCAATGTCAACATATCACTACTTAATACCTACAGGAGAAATTAATAACCTTATCTTACAAAAAGAAAACCTCTGCTACTTGGGAGACTCCGACTTAAGGCACTTGCTCTCTCTGCGGCAATCATGGCCAGGTGAACTCCCCTTGGCTTCTCCCTGATTCCTCGCTAACGCTGAGGCCCTGGAGACTCAAGGTTCCTGCTGCTCTTTCCCTGGGGCCTCCTCCCTGACCAGGGATCGGCTCTGAGCAGAGCCTACACTCCCAGGGAGGCTTTCTCCACACTCGCCCTTGGACTCAAACTCCCTGTCTGCTGAGCTTCCGTGGGCTCACCTTTTATGAGTGGCAGCCTCCAGTTCAAAAATATTGAAGTCCCAGTATTCCTCCTTCTCCATGGCCCGAGTTATCTGTGATGGGACATCGTGAAGGGAGACGGGGACGATGCTGCTGCTGGGAGCCTGCTGGAGGTCTGCAGGGTGAACAGAACGGAACCAACAGGCGTGACGGCATTTGCGGACCCTCAGGGGGCGGATGCTTTGTTTCTCAGGGTTTATGGTAAACCAAAAACTTATTGATTAAAAAAAAACCTCAAAATTTTTATCTGAAAATTTCTCTTCATCACTTAAGTGTGGCTATAATACTAATCAAAGTATTAGTTGCTCAGTCGTGTCCGACTCTGCAACCCCATGGACTGTAGCCCGCCAGGCTCCTCTGTCCATGGATTCTCTAGGCAAGAACACTGGAGCGGGTACCTTTCCCTTCTCCAGGGGGATCTTCCTGACCCAGGGATGGAACCCAGGTCTCCTGCATTGCAAGCAGATTGTTTACTGTCTGAGCCACCGGGGAAGCCCCAGTAGTATTAGCTAAAATACTAATAGCAATCCAAAAAACTAAAAAGGAAAAACTTACTTTTTGTTGAAAGAACATATTCATTTCCAGATAATCTTCGCAAACCATCCTGATAAAAACCAAGACAGAAGGTGACAGATGGTAATGGAATGGTCTGTTTCCCACAGAGCTGGAGGCCTCTATCCTAGACGGCTGGAGGCGGCACCTGGAGCCCACGGGCCAGAGCCTCCAGCTAACACCTGATCCCCCAGCCTCCTCCCATGATGTCCCCTAGTCTGTACAGGACGCTCTGGAGGGAGCCAGTCGTTCTGTTCTGTAATGTGGTATGAAACACTTCCTATTTTTTTCTGCCCCAGTTTTCAAAATCTTCAAATTTTATTTAAATCAACTACTTGTAGAGCCCTTAAGTAAAAATGGAGACCCAATGCAACAGACAAGCTGGCTGTCCTGAACACGCTCCTCCCTCTGTTCCAAGCTGAGGTCCTCCCGTACCCCCCACCCCACCCCTGGACAGGCCACAGGTGGGTGACGGCTCAGCCGGAGGGCAGCTGAGCCTGGGCAATGGATGATCTAGGCCTTGGCTGACCCCGCACACAAAGAGCGCTGTGTGGGGCAGGATGTCAACAAGCAGCCTCAGAAAACAGGCGAGAGCAGCGGGACCGAGGCAGCAGCCTGTTAGCACACTCACAGACACCAGGCCCCCGACGAGGTCGTTGGCGTGAGGATCATCATCCTTAGCACCGAACTGGGGTGAATATAATTCAGTGGTTCTTAGAATTTCCAGCACACGGTCTAAGGCTTCTGTCACAGGCATGGGACTGCTTTCCTGGGCAGCATTGATGATATTGATGACCTACAATAATACGGAAAGAAAAGTCCTGACTCTCATCACCTTAAAGGCAATGAGAGAGCAATCCAAAGAGTCGGGCTGGCGGTAGGGCTCATTGTTAACTTAAGACAGTCAGAGTGCTCCTGTCGCCCTCCTCTCTCCGCAGAGGCAGCAGCTCCGCACAACTAGGGGAGCCTCATCACTGTTGTGGGTCGCCGCGTCACCTTGGTGATGGGCGCTTCGATCGTCATGGAATGAATCCGGGCCATGGAAGAGTGTCGTCTCTGGCTGGAAACTGTGGAGAGACCAGGTGGTGCAGGGATCAGGGAGAGCGTGGCCTCAGTCACTGTCTCCCACCCTCCTCCAGCCCCGAGTGAAGGGGCAGGACCAGAGCTACCCGGCGGCTCAGCTCCCTCCCCATCCTACCAAGCCCGGGATTCTGGCAGACCAACTCTGCCTCCTTTGGTTCAAGGCACTGGGAGGCATGTGACCCCCTAGACTGAACCTCTGAGGTGCGGAGCGGGGAGGGGCAGCAGGGGCCAGTGAGAAGACAGAGGAAGCCATCTAGCAAGTCGAGGCCACACATTAGCCTCTCTGTGTCTGTAACAATGACGTTTTATAACTCAGCTTGCTGCTACCCAGGAGAGGAGCATTCTGAAAGACAATGCCACATAGGCCCTTTGTTTCATATGTGGCGGGAACAATAAATACAACCCAATTAACTGAAATCCGTGAGTATTTCTGGTTCAGTTTTTCAAGGCATCCTTTGGTGCTTTCCACTGTTCTGCTTGAGATTGTTACCTAAACTGTCTAGATTAGCTGAGGTAGGTGGCAGGTCTTACGCTCTACTGTTTGTTAATTTTTTGTTGCTCCTGTCAAGACCCAGTTCCTCTGGGGTGGGGAGAAGCCTGGGCGGTGAATGGGCAGGAAGAGACACTCAGTTGTGTTCTGTCTCTCCCTGAAAGCCCCACTGTCCAGCCACATGCTGTTTACCAAAGGCCAGAGACGACCACACACTGCTCTACCCGCTGAGATGTCAGCCTTATTTTACCGAACAAGGGCCTGAGCAGAAACAACCAAGACTAACCTACTCAGGGGCTCTCACATGCTTTAAATTGCAGAGACCAACAAAAACTCCCTAAATCTAATGTTGGTGACTGACACATGGATGCTATCTTTCCATTTTACCCAATAAGGTCATTAAACCAAAAGTAGAAACCACTCTTCTATCCCTATGTCATAATAGGACTTGTTCTCATTAAAAAAATATAGTGAAGGTGACATACACAAACCAAACAATACAGTCAATACAATAAGGTGAAAAAGAATAAAGATTGTTGTGACTATGTGTGCAGAAAATCTGAAAGACTCTACAAATGCTACTCTGATTACAATCAGTAAGTTTTATCAACGTTACTGAGTGGAATGTTAACACACAAAAGTCAATTATATTTCTATATATTAGCAACAAACAACTGGAAACTAAAATAAAAAAACTATCATGAAAGTATAGAAAAAATTAGCATTCAGGAATAAATCTAATGGAAATCTAAGTGTAGGACTTATACACTGAAAATGCGAAACACTGCTGAGGAAGAAAAGACAACCTAAATAAACACAAAGAGCATGCTCATGTTTTGAAAGACTCAGTATTATCAAGATTTCAAGTTTCTCTTGATCTATAGATTTAAGACACTCCCAAATAAAATCCCAGGAGGTTTTGTGTGTGTGTGTGTGTGTGTGTGTGTGTGAACTAAGTAGCTGATTCTAATGCTATATGGAAATGCAAAGAACATAGAATAGTCAGGATAATCTTGAAGAATTTTACCAGATATCAAGACTTACCATATAACTGTAGTAACTGATCATGGTATTGGTGCAAGCAAGGACTAATGGAACAATGAAACAGAATACATGAGTCCAGAAATAGACCATATATTTATAGTCAACTGGTCTACAAGAATGATACTATAGGAAAAGATGGTTTTTCAATATGGTGATGGGACAGTTGGGTTTCCCTGTAGGGAGAAAATTCATCCTTGATCCCTACCTTCACTCAATATAAAAACTGATTTGGAATGAATCATAGAGCCAAAGTGAAAGATAAAACAATAAGGCTTATAGAAGAAAATGTGGGAGAATAGTCTTCATGACCTTGAGATAGAGAAAGAGTTCTTAAACAGGACACAAAAAAAAGCACTAGGTATAATAGAAAACACTGATGAAATGAACTTTAAGATTCATTAAGAACCTCTGTTCATTAAAAGACTATTAAGAGTGAAAATGCAATCCACAAACTAAGAAAAGTATGTCTGGAATACTTATATCCACATCTAGAATATGAAAAGAATTCCTACAACCAACAAGCAAGAGATAACCCAATGATAAAAATGGGCAAAATTATGAATGTCACTTCACAGAAGAGGATATCCAAATGTCCAGTAAGCATATGAAAGGGGTGTCGTATGGAAAATTAAAATTAAAACCACATCTGGTAGAGTAACTATAGTTTAGAACCTAGTGTAACCCAGTATGAGAGAATGAGGAGCAACTGGAACACTCGAAGATGAGTGATGGCATGAGGTGCAACCCATGTCGGAGAACTGTGCACAGGTGCCAAGGCCCCACAGTCCCAGTCCTAGGGGATGGACACACATGTCCACAAAGAAAGACTTCCATACAAGCATTCACAGCAGCCTTACCCGTAAGAGCCCTCACACGGAAAGATGAACACAAAAAGACCATTCCTAAGAGAATGGATAACAAATTGTGATGTATACAAACAATGAAGTGCTACCAAGCAATAGAAAAGAATGAACTGCTAATACCCCCAGCAACGTGGATGAACCTCCAGAACGCTAACATGAGGGAAAGGGGCCATACTGCGTGATTACTGTATGACTCCATTTCTATGAGGCACGAGAAGAGGCCAAATTAACTCATGTGCAAGAAATCAGTGGATGCCTCTGCGTGGTGAGATCTGTATGAGAGTGCAGGCCCGCTTTCTGCCCGTGGACGCCACCGAGAAAGCATCGTTGAAGACTTCCCCGCCTCCACTGCCATCATGTCTAAATCAGAGTCTCCCAAAGAGCCCGAACAGCTGCGGAAGCTCTTCATCGGAGGATTGAGCTTTGAAACAACCGATGAGAGTCTGAGGAGCCATTTTGAGCAATGGGGAACTCTCACAGACTGTGTGGTAATGAGGGATCCAAACACCAAGCGCTCCAGAGGCTTCGGGTTTGTCACATACGCCACGGTGGAGGAGGTGGATGCGGCCATGAATGCAAGGCCACACAAGGTGGACGGAAGAGTTGTGGAACCAAAGAGGGCCGTGACAAGAGAAGATTCTCAAAGACCTGGTGCCCACTTAACTGTGAAAAAGATTTTTGTTGGTGGCATTAAAGAAGACACTGAAGAACATCACCTGAGAGATTATTTTGAACAGTACGGAAAGATTGAAGTAATTGAAATCATGACTGACCGAGGCAGTGGCAAAAAGAGAGGCTTTGCGTTGTAACCTCTGATGACCACGACTCTGTAGACAAGACTGCCATTCAGAAATACCACACTGTGAATGGCCACAACTGTGAAGTGAGAAAAGCCCTGTCTAAGCAAGAGATGGCTAGTGCTTCATCCAGCCAGAGAGGTCGAAGTGGTTCTGGAAACTTTGGTGGCGGTCGTGGAGGTGGTTTTGGTGGGAATGACAACTTTGGTCGTGGAGGAAACTTCAGTGGTCGAGGTGGCTTTGGTGGCAGCCGTGGTGGTGGCGGATATGGTGGCAGTGGGGATGGGTATAATGGATTTGGTAATGACGGAAGCAATTTTGGAGGTGGCGGAAGCTACAATGATTTTGGCAATTACAACAATCAATCTTCAAATTTTGGACCCATGAAAGGAGGAAACTTCGGAGGCAGAAGTTCTGGCCCCTATGGTGGTGGAGGCCAATACTTTGCCAAACTGTGAAACCAAGGTGGCTATGGTGGTTCCAGCAGCAGCAGTAGCTATGGCAGTGGCAGAAGGTTTTAATTACTGCCAGGAAACAAAGCTTAGCAGGAGAGGAGAGCCGGAGAAGTGACAGGGAAGCTACAGGTTACAACAGATTTGTGAACTCAGCCAAGCACAGTGGTGGCAGGGCCTAGCTGCTACAAAGAAGACATGTTTTAGACAATACTCATGTGTATGGGCAAAAAACTCGAGGACTGTACTTGTGACTAATTGTATAACAGGTTATTTTAGTTTCTGTTCTGTGGAAAATGTAAAGCATTCCAACAAAGGGTTTTAATGTAGATTTTTTTTTTTGCACCCATGCTGTTGATTGCTAAATGTAATAGTCTGATCATGACGCTGAATAAATGTCTTTTTTTTTTTTTTAAATGTGCTGTGTAAAGTTAGTCTACTCTGAAGCCATTTTGGTAAACTACCCCAACAGTGTGAAGTTAGAATTCCTTCAGGGTGATGCCAGGTTCCATTTGAAATTTATTTACAACCTGCTTGGTGGAGAAGCTGTTGTCTTCAGAACCTTGGTGTAGTTGAACTGACAGTTACTGTGTTGTGACCTGGAGTTCACCATTAAAAGGGTCACCCATGCAAAGTCATGGAGGTTTTTTTTTTTGGTTATTAATGATTGTTGGCACATCCTATGCAATATATCTAAATTGAATTATGGTACCAGATAAAAGTTATAGATGGGAATGAAGCTTGTGTATCATCCATTATCATGTGTAATCAATATAAGATTTAATACCCTCTTGAAAAAAAAAAAAAAAAAGAGAGTGCAGGCCCGCATGTGTGTATTTTCTGTATCTAGTTTGGGGTGGGTGGTAACAGTCTATACAGGTCAACGGTACAGAACTGTCAAAACATATTGAACTCAACACTTAATATGAATTATATGTAAATTGCAAGTCAATCAAAAAGAACAGAGGTTAAAACCCAAAAACATTAAAAGAAAAATGTTTAGGTCTTCAAAATAGAGAAATGGACAAAGTAACGCAAAGGATGAAGAGGAGTCAGAGTGTGGCAGTGAGGATGGTCTGCGGCGTCCGAGTGGCCTCTGCTCTGCTCAAGGGCTGTGCAGCGAGGACCATGGTGAAGATGGTGCCAGCAGCTGCCACGACCCCTGCCAGGCACCGCACCCCCTCAGTTAATCCTTACACTGTCCCCTGTGGACAGAATTATCCCCATCTGATGATACGGAAAGGGAAGCTCTCAAGGCCACTTCCAAGGCTGCACAGAGAGTAGATGAAGCTGGGACCTGAACCAAGGTCAAGCTGAGGCCTGAGTCCACACACTTCCCTGCACCACCTCTGCCCCTGGCCCCTACAGCAGAGGCGGGGAATCTATTCTTTATTCCATGACTCCATCAGAAGGGTCAGATGAACCTACTGGCAAAGAAGTCAGGGGCAAGGGAGAAATGCACGCAGACTTCTACGGGGCCCCTCCCGTCTGCTGAGCTTGAGGGTGGGGGCAGTGACCCAGACAAGATGAGGAAGGGAGCCTCATGTTTCCATGTGCCCACCACTCGAAGAAGCACATTCTTTTCCTCTTGTCTTTGTCACCTACCTTCATTTGTTCGAGAGGCAACAGTTTTGACATCTAGGGAGCTTTTTCTCCTGTCTTTATGTTTGCCTGACTGATTATCTGTGGAAATAAATTATAAATTACCTCCGTGAAGAGATTTTAACAACATATTACTATAATAACCAATATGAAAGCTTTAAAAGACAAAATTTAAGATTTAGAATACCACTTAGGATGCTGCAAAAATCAACACAGTACACCAAGATGAAGTCTCTGAACAACTGGGTTTAAGGGAGACAAACTTTCTCAAAAAATTTTCCACTCACCATAAACGAGGGCTTTTCAGTTTCTAGATTGTGTAATTACAGAGTCTGAGGCCACAAAAATGAACTCAGAATTTCACCTACTTCTACGTAATTGAACAAGTGGTGGGAAAATTCTGATCCCTATCCACCCTTGCCCAAAGTGAAAAAATCTTTTCTGTGTTTTTTCTACAATACAAGCCCTAAAATGTCCTGGGGGAGACTATGCCTCTCTTCTGGAAGCAGGACAGGGAGTGGTGGTCTGGGATCTACTTCTCTGAGACCCATTTCTGTGGATGGCACCACTGACCCTCCAGCCCAAACAGGAGATGTCTGACTCCTCTCTCCCCCGGAGCCCACACTGATCAATGACAAGGCCAAGTTAACCTTCCTTCCTGCGCCCTCCTGGGTGTCACCCGGGGTGCCAAGCCTCTCCAGCCTGTTCTCATTTCACACATGAGGACACTGGGAGCCCTGTGAGATGAGCTTGGCTCTCCCTTTTCCCACTGGCAGTTCCAATTGTCTCTGCCTTCTCCTGGCTTCCTCCCCTGGACTCTTGCTTGCATACAGGATCCCAAAGCAGACACTTAGTACTCCTCTCCACCATCCAGAACCCTCTCCACTTGCTCTCTGGTACGTTCTCTTCTATGGGGGCACTGGCAATGACCTTGTTAAGGTCACCGATGACCTTCCTGTTGCTACCTCTGAAGGACTCAAGTCCGTCATTACCTGACTCTTCTGACTTGCGTACTAGACACTAGTCAGTGCTAGACTGAGCTCACTTTCTGAAAACTGCTCTGCACACATCCACTCTGGCTTTCCCTGCGTCTCCTGCTGTTCCATCCTGGTCTCCATCACCATGTCTCCTGTTCCTCAGCACCCCGGCGTTCCCATAGGTTCATCCTCTGCACCCCCTTCTCTTCTCAGACAGCAGACTCCTCATTCTTCCCCACAGCCTTTACTCAGTCCCATGCTGTCGTATCCCGGGCCTTCCTCCCGAGCCCCAGACTTCCATCCTCCCGGGTCACTCGTCACTTCCATGGGGACACCCCTCATGCTCGTCTTCTCCCAGGCCACTCCTCATCCCAGTCACTGGGCAGCATCTACCTTTCCACTTAGCTGGAGACAAGTCGTCCTTGACGGCTCCCTGCTGCTCTCCCTCAAGTGTTCAGGTGTGATAAATGTCTAGATTCCACCTCCTAAACGTCTCTCCCCACTCCTTCCCTGTCCAGGCTCAGACACCTGTCAATTGCCCTCCGGGTTATAGGGACAGCCTGCCTCACCGGTCCTACCAGCCCCAGCCTTGCTCCCTACGACACATTCTCTCCGGACAGTGCTCACTCTTCTGATGAAAACATTTTAATGGTACTTCACTGTTTTTAGGGTCAGATGTAAATTCCCCAGTGTGGACCCAGGGTCCCTTGTGTCTGAACCTCGTCTCTCCAGCGACCACGAGTTACCTATGATGTGCTAGGTCACCTCCCAGACCTCTCCGCCGTGGCACTAACTGCTCACCCCCACTTAGGAAGGCGCCCCTCCTTGGCTGCCTTCTCCGCCTGGTTAACACTCCACCCTCTTGGAGATGCAGGTCAGATGTGGTTCAGGTATCCTCCCCTCTGGGGAGCCTTCCCCTAATGCCCCAGCCCCACCCGGACCCCCACCCCACCAGGAACCACGGGCTTTCCTGTGCAGCTCCCTCACTAATTGTGAACAAGATGAAGGAAGAAATGACCTTTCCCACCCCTTCCTGGGTGACTAGCACTGCCAGCACGTTGCAGATGCTCAACAGACACGCATCTGCTTCTCCAGACATGTGCACACGCACAAACCAGAGCACCACTAATAAACCACTCCGAGTCCATGGCTCGCCTGCTCAACACCCTCAGCACCTCAGAGGTAAAGAGGAACTCCCTGGCAGTCAAGGACAGGAGCAGTGTGCTGGCTGCAGCCAGCCGTTGATCTCTCGCAGTCTTGCCCACAAGTGAGCTGAAGGGACACAGCTCTCCAGTCTCAGGAACAGCCTTGACTCTGCTCCTCCGCCTCCAACCGGGTACACGGTGTCCCGCCCAAATGCTCATTACCCCGTCCAGCCACACCTACTCTAACCACTCAGACTGCAGCGTCTCCTCACTCTGAGCTCCAAGGAGATCGGTGTCCAAACAGCGGGCTGAGAAGCTGCGCTGTGACCTCCTGCAGTTCCCTCCTTCGTCTCCCTTTCTGCCACTCAGCAAACATTCGCTGAGCGCCTGGGGCAGGTCAGGCTCTAAGGCAGGCACCAGGGATGTGAAGACGACTGAGGCTGCTGCCTCCAGATGGAGATCCTCATTTCCCCCCAACACTGAAGGACCCTCCACGATCCCACCTCCTTCCCACACTGATCTTTTGTACCAGTTGGAACGTTGTCCCGCTCTTTGTAGAACACACTGCACTCTCCCTCTTTAGTCACTGTTCTTACGTCTGGATCGCGTTTCCTCTGCACCCGTCTCCTCACTCCAGTCCACCTCTCCCTGTCTGGAGCTTGCCTCGCTCCCCTGCCTTCCTCCCCAGTAACGGTCATTCTTGATCACTTGCTGTGTGCCCCTGCTGTCCATATGCCCCTCCTCTTTTCAGGTTAAAGCCTGATCACTCCCGGTGCCCAGGGGAACTGTCCCAGCACATGCCTCAGACTCCTGGAGCTGGCCGTCTGGGCTTGAGTGCCAGCTGACCACTTCCTAGCTGGATGTCCTGGAGCAAATCATGGGGCTTTTCATCTCCTTGTCTGTAAAAAGGGAGCCTGGTCTGTAAGGTGTCTCCCCCACTTAAGTCCTCCTGAGACAGCCCTGAGGTGAGGCAGGTCTGATGGGGTGTCCCCGCTGAAGACGTGGTCCGACACCAACACCACTGCCTCTTCAAGCATCAGGCTGACAGACCACACTCCGCTCAACACAGCTTCACGGACGTGCACGCACTGGAGGTGAGACATGCCCAGGACACCTGTCAGAATGCCCACCTGTGCTCAGGACCTGAGAGTCGGGGAAAGAGATGCTGCTACAGCGCTAGGAAAACACGGTGCCACCTATGCACCAGGTGAGCTCATCGGAGGTAGGGCCTGTTTTCAGTTTTTCAAAAGCTCAATGAAAAAAAAAAAAGCTCAGTGAACCCTAAGCATGAATACAGGGCACCATACCTGTGTAACTGTCAGTCTGAACACTTTCAGCTATTTTCTCCGCCTAGAAGTGAATATCAGAAGCCATTAGTTCTGAGTGCCTAGTGACGCAGTAAGGGAAATCTTGCTGGGCCCCCAGGGTCCCCAGGACTCCCCCTACATACCTTATTGTTGCCATTGCACACTCTGATAATGGACACATAGTGTCTAATTTTTCTGCAAGTAGAAAACAATGCATTATATTCCTCCTGGCCCTCAATTCTGGTGGAGCGCTAGCTAGTTTTTCCCTTATGAAAAGAGCATCTCTCTTTCACAGCACACACCTCGGAGAGAGCAGTTCTATTGCTTGTGGTCAAGGTTGCCAATAAGCAAATAAGAGTCTACAGGCATTCCCTGGTGTCTCTGAAGAAGACAGGTTGACTCTTCAGTGAAAATAACAAAATCCTTCCGAGCCATTGCAACATACAATTAAAAATACCCAGGTTTCAAAAATGTACTCCACTGTTAAAGCTAACCAAAAGCCTTTAGTTCTGTCACATGTTTTCATGTTCACAAGCCTTTACACTGATGCTCGTTTTCGAGTTTCAGCAGAGCCTGCTCACAACACTCATGGAAACAGTCACAGGCCCCTCTGGGGCCGAATGTGCGCATCTAGAATCAGATGGCTGGGGTTCTCTTGAGAGTTGCTGGCTCTCCTCACTTATTTACTGTTCTTTCCATTTTTCAGCTTTTCCCCTTGATAATCCAATCCCGCCCAATGAGGGAAGGACATAAAAAGGCAGAGTCAGAACAGAGAGCCCACACAGAGCCGACTCCCTGAGGCAGAAGCCAGCTGGCAACCAGGCCTGGTAACCAACACGTGAGCCTCACGGGCAACGTGGGGGTCTGTGGCCTGGCTCCACCAAGCGCTGTAGCCAGGCCCTGGGCTGAGCCTCTCCCAGCCTCAGCTTCCTCATCTGTCAACCGGAGACGGTCACAGTGCCGCCGTCACAGGGCTGCGGGGAGGAGGAGGTGAAGGGACGCCTAGCAGGCCCTGAGCCCCTGCCCAGGGAGGGAAGGGCTCCCAGACGGCAGCGTGGTTACAACACCGTCACCACACCTCCTCCTCGTCTTCATGACCAAGAACATACACTAGGTATGATTTTACATTTTGACTTTTGTATTTATCATAAACATTTTCCCTGTGATTGAATTCTCTATGATCATCATTTCTAATTGTGATGTATTTTATTGTTGAGTGTTCTGCAATTCACACTCAATTTTCCACTGTTTGTATTATTTAACATAGATTCCGAGACAAACTATGACACTTTTAGGCTCTTGATATACACTGCCTTCCAATCTGTGGTCACACCTGTTTCATATGAGTTTCTATAAATGACAGTATTTAAAATACTTTATCTAATTTGATAGTTCTGTGCAGAAATGATACAGAGGCTACCAAAACCAGATGTGTGTGTGTGCTCAGTCATGTCTCTTTTGAGACCCCATGAACTGTGTAGTTCTCCAGGCTCCTCTGTGCATGGGATTTTTCCAGGCAAAAATACTGGAGTGGGTTGCCATTTCCTTCTCCAGGGGATCTTCCCAACCCAGGGATTGAATCTGAGTCTGCTGCACTGCAGGCAGATTCTTTATCTGCTAAGCCAGACAGAAATCTTTAATATAGAGTCCACCAGTGAGTGTTCTTGGCACAAAGCTCAGTGAGGTGGCATCGGATTTAAATGCTTTCATCTTTTATGTATGTGCTCACACAACTTAAGCAGGACTGTCAGGGTCTTGCAGCTCTGGGTCACCAGCAGGAGGGTCAGGCTGTGACCATGAGGAGCCACCCTGGAAGGTCACACTTTGGTGGTAACTGACCCGGTTACCAGTCCTTCTTATAAGTTTCCATGTGCAGTTCCTAACTTACTTAAGTATTTAAAGCATATGCTGCAATAAGCCAAACATGGTATACTGACTGAAGTACTTGTTTTTTCTACTTACCCTCCCTGTCCAATGACAGGTATTATCTTCACATTTTGTTGTACATTATCTCCATTTTTCTTCCTGACAGAGTAAATTCCTTGCCATTCCTGTAAATGGAATGTGAGCATCATTATACACTGTGTTCCAAACATGAACCTGAGAACATCCTCCACCTCGTGCTCCTGTTCACTCCCAGTGGCCACCAGGGCAATCAGGAGAACAAGATCCAGCTAAGGAGGACAATTCAGCCAGTGACTGTTTAGATAACAGAGTTGCCTGTACGTTTTCCAGTCAAATGGAAACAAAAGTATTTACTCAACGCAGATCCTATTTCTTAGCAAAATACAACAGAAGTCAAAGTTTCAGATCCTGAAAATAACAAAGTCCTACCTAGAAGGCTATTATGAAGAGAAAATCTGGTAACACCCCCAAACTCCTCGCCAAGTGCTGACACACACAGATGGCCAGTAAGGGGCCTGTCTGGTTTTGCACATGCTGTCTGTCTGTCTGCGCTCCTCTCAGAATGACACGAGGCCTGCACCTCCCTCTACTCCAGGGCCAGCTTGGCAGAGAACGGGACTTCTCTGACTACTGGGACAGGCTCTTCATGGTGGGGTCCGTGGCCTCAACAATTCCATCATCGCCATCCAGCTGTCCTATCTGGGGGTGAGCACAGAGCTGGCATGTGGTAAACGGTCAAGGGCCACTTGGGGCCTTAGTTTACTGAATGGAAAAGCTAGACCAAGGTCAGACCACGGAATCCTGGCGGCCAGGCTAAGGGATCTGAGTGCTCCATGAGGGGGTGACATCATCAGTGATGACCTGGCGAGACTCATCTCCAGCAGTGCAGGGGGACTGACTGAAGTGAGGGTCCTGGGCCGGGAGGCCTAACTGCGTTCAGCTACCGCCGTCTTGGGAATGTGGGGAGGAGGTCCTGAATGTGGTCAGGCCCAGGCGATGGATCCAGCCCTGCTGATGGATTTGATAAAGAGGGTGAGAAGGGGGAGGGAGAATCCAAAACCAGTCCAGGATTCAAAGTCCAAGCAGGTGTGAAGATAGTCAACAAGCAGAGACAGATGAGGACTGAGAGAGACTAGGCTTTCTGTCAGTGGGGGATGAGAGAGAATCATTGCTCTACAGGTTGGTTCCAAGATGACAGCAGGTGTTGAGACAAACCTTGGAAAAGACCTTCAGGTGAAAACTGGGGAATGGGAGCCATGTATGCAGAGGAGAAAGGATGCTCAATGACACAAGAGCCTTTGAGGGACCAGCAGGGGACAGAGCACCCTGTAAACCTGGGAGGAAAGGATGGGGAGAGGGGAGCTGGAGAGAGGGGTAAGTGGGGAGTCCCGGGGGCTACAGAGGGTGCAAGGGGTGAAAAGCTGGGACTCCCGGCAGCCCAGCGGTTAGGACTCTGCACTTCCACTGCTCAGGGTACAATTTGCACGGCGCAGCCAAAAGAAAAAAAAATTATAAAAAGCTGAAGGGCTCCTTGTTTGCAATATTTTCCATTTGAACATCACTGGAATTTCTCCTGTGCCCCCAAGAATATCTGGCTGGTTGGACACCTAGAACCTGACACTCCAAAGCCCCTACCATCATCTGACTTCCTGTGAAGGCTCCAGCCCCGTCCCCAGCACAGGTCTGAACCCTCTCCATGGACCACAGCCCACTGTTTGTCCAGGCTGGCCACTTCTCAACAAGCCCTTCTTCTCCCTGGGAAGACTCCATTAGAAAGGCCATGTATCTTTCTCCTCAAAAACAAAAAAACAAACAAACAAAAAACTGCCCAGCTAAGTGGTCTGTCCTGCTGCAGTGTGGCCAGCCAAGTAGGAATGACCAACAACGGACATGTGGCAGCTCTTACACTCTCCCCAGGAACTCAAGATCACGCAGAACCAATGCCCTGGCTCCATTCTGAAATAAAGCAGTTAAGTATAGAGGTTGATAATAGGATAGTATTTGCTGCTCACAGCAAACACAGATGTTAGAGAACATGTGTCCTGCTGTTGGTGTTTGAGGCCTTTCATACCTGGTGCCCTATGGAAAGACTCAGGAGGTGAGACGCTGCCCACAGGGGTCTGGGGGGATCTCTGGACCTGCAGCTAATCTGCTGGATTCCCCCATCCCACCCCATCTCCACTTGCTCTCCTGAGAGGGACAGGAGTGCCTCACTGACCCTGCTGCTGCCAGATAGAGGGGTGCAAGAGCCCTCGTGTCTGTCTGACAGCCCACAGACCTCACGGCAGAACTGCAGGCTGACCCCGTGGCTGCCCTGGACCTGGCCGCCGCGGCTGGGGAGGCCGCCGTGGGTCTGCATGGCTGCTCCTGTGGCTGCCTTTAGAGGGTGCCCCCATCGGCCCAGCAAGGGAACACCGGTGGGCCTGAGTTCCTACATTCTCTTCGTTCATTACCACCTCTGTTTCTCTTTCGAGAGAACCTGCCACTCTCTCTGGTAAGAAAATCTTCCTCCTTGACAGAAGGAAGAGCTGAAGGAAATCAGGATGCATTCAGCGCCTACATCGGCTACTCCCCGAAGGTGCATCACCTGGCCCCGCAGCTGGTCAGCCCCTTCCCTGTTCTCACTGCAAAGCCACCCCTGAGTGCGAAGGACACCCGCCCACTCACAGGGTCCTCAGGGGGCCCAAGCCAAGTGGGGCTATGAACCCTGCACAGCCCTTCTGCCCCCACTGGTAGCCTGCCCTCGTGGGTGACCAGACAGGCGTGGGGCCACATGCCCCAGGGACAGCACTTCCAAGGGCCTCCAATGGCCGGCAGGACAGCAGCTCACCAACTCCTCAAATATTTTAAAAAATCATATTCACTATCCCAACTCCTAAGAGTTAAAAAGAGCCCAGCAGAAAAGCCTGGGAATGACTATGGAAAGCAGTGGCCTTTTCCTTCCTGGCGTATTTTAAAAGCGAATACCAGTGAGGTGTTTACAGAAGCCAGGGTTCAGAGAGAGAAACCTCCTCCACCTGGAGCCCGCCTCTGTGTCTGTCCTTAGCACCACGGTACTGCGACTACTCACGTCATAGTTTATCTGTCTGTTCTGTGTCCTGGAACATATTCTGAGCAGTTTTTCCTTGCTCATCTTTCTATACCGGAATTCAGCACAGTGCCTGGCATTCAAAAAATGCTGACCAAGTGAACAAGGCCCAGAGAACTGATGGGCTCAGCTGTGTTCTGAGAATGTGTGGATTCACTGGCCATTCTTTACCCTGACCACTGCCAACATCCATCACTGAGATTAATTATTAGAAAGATCAACTTACTTATTACAAAAATGAAAACAATGACTTTATGTGTCAAAGTTACCCTTCCTGGCTGGTCAGGTTATATGTACTTTCCTAGCCTCAGTTTCCTCATCTGCAAAGTGGACACAACAGGGATACCACCACCTATGGTTCCCCAGGCCTGAGGTTCCCCAGCTTTGGCAGTGCTCAGCTAGTGTTCAACCTCCTTCCACCCCTCTCTGCTTCTGTGGAAGGGACCAGGGTGCCACTCTCTTACTCACCTTGCATGAATTTATAGTATCGAGCAAATCAGCCTTTTTTTCATTTATAGGCACTTCTGCTATCTCCTTCCCTATTAACTCTCCTGACTGATAGCCCATTGTTGTTTCGAACGCTGGATTTGCATACTGGGGGGTGGGGAGACAAAAGAGAAAACATCAAGTGAATTAAAAGAAATATTGAAAAGAGGACAATCAAAGGTGTTCAACCTAAACCATCATATTTTTCCCCCAGAAAGCCCAGGAGCCTGGCCCTCACTATGATGGTTCTAAAGTTACAAGAGCACAACCCCAGGAAAACCCTGGAGTCTGGAGAAGCCTCTGCTCTGGTGATGCTGGGCTGGGCTTTCTTCCATGTTCTCCTGAGGTCCAGAGAGGGCGGCAGGCTAGCTCCCACTTAAACACCCTTGGAGGAAAGGAGCATGGAGACACCTGGGGCTGCTGCACACAGGCTGTTGGGATTACGATACTGAAAGAAAGCACCAACTGGGAATCTGACCCACCCAACCCCTACTTCCAAAAGTCACTTAGCTCCTCCCAGGTTTCAGTCTGCACATCTGTTTAATGGGGATGAAACATTTATTTAGCCTCTCTCACATGATGCAAATGAAAAATGAGTTTGGAAAGCAGGCTGTGACAGAGGAAGTGTTTACAAATATAAGGCTTTATGGTTAAGTTTCAAATAGGACTGTAAGAGTACAAGAAAATGCCTGGGAAAGCTGTGTGTGCGCTAATAAAAATAACAAATAATGATGATGATAAACAACAGTCATGCTGTTTAAGGTTTGTTTTCCTTGCTAGGCACCACAGCAAGCAAGTTACACACATTAACTCCTTTCAGTCCTCAGAACATCCTTATGAAAGGCAGGTGATTGCCAGCGTTAATATTATTCCCATTTGTACAGATGAGAGAGCAGATTCAGACAGATTGAGTAACCCGCCCGTAGATGCTCAGCTCGGTGGAGGCCAAGAATAATGGAACACAGGCCTGACTGATACCAAGCCTGTGCTCTCAACCACCGGCCAGTGTCACGTCTCAAGGCACCGACTCCTGCATGTGGACATCATGAGGCTCTTTACCAAGAAAGCCACAGTTAAAGTGAAGAACTGCAGTGCTCATTACTAAAATCAAAGTGGGGCTCATTCTCAGACACAAGGAACATTCCCCTGGCACAACTCCCTCTTTTGCTGTTATCTGAGAACACATGTTACCTGTTTGTTGTTATCTGAAAGCCATGTGACCCTCTTTCACTTTTTAATTTTATTGAAGTCTAGTCACTGTACAACAAAGGAAATCATATGTATATGTTATATACATATATCCATTCTTTTTTAGATTCTTTTCCCATATAGGTCATTACAAAATACTGAGTAGAGTTCCCTGTGCTATACTACAGGTCCTTGTTGGTTATCTATTTTTTTAAAGGTTATTTTCTTTTACTGTGGACCATTTTTAAATGAAAACTATATTATCTTAAGTCACTTATATGAAGCCACTTTGCTAATAATTTGTTAAGTACTAGATTATTTTTAAAATTTTGAGTAGTGTCCAGTAAATTTTTATAGTTTCTATAGTAAACTACCATCAAAAACAGTTAAGAAAGGAAAGCGCACACAGCCCTTATGGGCAGGGCCTGTCCTTATTGCAACAGTCTCTCCCCACCTGGCTCCAAAATCCTGGATAAAAGCCCCTCCTTGCATAATAAACAAGCAAAAAGCAGAGAAAAAATAAATGCCAGTGCCATAGGTTTACAGAATACTTTCTAACACATTAAGTAATTATTAGAAACTTTTCTTACCCCAGAGGGAACTTATCTTAGACTTTATATTTTACACATTTTGTTCTAATAAACCTCTAAGGAAAAACTGGTCCCTTGAACTTCAAAAAGAGAAAGAAAAAAAAAAATACCGAAGGGGTTCAACCCTAAAAATGCAAACAAACCAGAAATGCGGGACAAGCTTCCCAAATAACAAACCTGGATAATGTGGTCTTCACTTGTAATTTCAATTGCTTCTTGACTTTTCTCTAATGCAGCGAACATTGAGTTACAAGCCCTTTATGGGTAGAAAAGAAAAAAGACTGATTAATATAAATATTATAAAATGAATTATAGTCTTGGGATATTACATTAACTTACTTAAATGAATTCTTTGATTATAAAGGTAACTGATGCTAACTTGAGAAAAAGAAGGGGGGAAGATTAAAAAGCAGAAGGAAGAAATAAACGCCTCCTGCAATCCTGCCACTTGGGATCATGACTCTGTACAACTTGGTGCTTTTCTTCCCATTCTAAGAACAAGTGGACCAGGGGGAACCCACACGAGGGTCAGAGCACAGACCTTCCCTGGCTGTGGGACGTGACTGAACCTCCCTGGGTCTCTCCCTCTCACCATGTGCAGAGTCCTCATGAGGACTCAAAGAGAAAGTGGACTCAAGCTCCCCGCACAAAACCTGGCAGAAAAGAGGCAGCCCATCGTTTGCAGCTACCACCTTCAACAAATTTTTTTCACAAAACAGATCATCGACATCACTGGCTTTGTTCCCTGCTTCTACTTACTTTATATTGTGAGCATTCTCCCTGTCCTTGGTGGTTGAAAACATTTTTGAGTTACACAGGTAACAACGGGGTTTTTTTTTTAATTAGAAAATGAAAATAAATGAAATACTACATCATACACACTAGGATGGCTATAATCAAAGACAGTGTTGGTAAGGAACCCTCATACACTGCTGGTGGGAGTGTAAAATGATACAGCTGCTTTGGAAAACAGTCTGGCAGTTCCCCAAGCTGCTAAGCACAGAGTTACCGATTCTACTCCTAGGTTGGCACCTGACAGAAACAAAAACATATGTCCACACAAAAACTTACAGCCCACAAGTGCAAACAACCCTAATGCCCATCAACTGATGAATGGATGAATAAAATGTGATATGTCCATACAATGGAATACTATGCAGATACAGAAGGAAACACAGTCCTCATGTGTGCCATAATATGGATGAATCTTAAAAAAAACATTATGCTAAGTTAAAAGAAGCCAGTCACAAAAGGACCACATATTGCATGATTCTACTTTAATGAAATGTCCAGAATAGGCAAATCTATATATACAGAGAAATTAGATTAGCGGTTATCTAGGGCTGGAGGTCATGAAAATGTTCTAAAATTGTGGCAGTGGTTGCACAACTCTGTGAATATACTCAAAGCCACTGAACTGGGTACTTTAAATGGGTGAATTGTATAGAATGTGAATTATATCTCAATAAATCTGTTTAAAAATACATGAGATTGAATCATCTGAAATCCCAACACCTACACAAATCAAGTGATTGCAGCCATGAAATTAAAAGACGCTCACTGCTTGGAAGGAAAGTTATGACCAACCTAGATAGCATATTAAAAAGCAGAGACAACACTTTGCCAACAAAGGTCTGTCTAGTCAAGGCTATGGTTTTTCCAGTGGTCATGTATGGATATGAGAGTTGGACTGTGAAGAAAGCTGAGCATCGAAAAATTGATGCTTTTGAACTGTGGTGTTGAAGACTCTTGAGAGTCCCTTGGACTGCAAGGAGATCCAACCAGTCCATCCTAAAGGAGATCAGTCCTGGCTGTTCATTGGGAGGACTGATGCTGAAGCTGAAACTCCAATACTTTGGCCACCTCATGTGAAGAGTTGACTCATTGGAAAAGATCCTGATGGTGGGAGGGATCGGGGGCAGGATGAGAAGGGGACGAAAGAGGATGAGATGGTTGGATGGCATCACCGACTCGATGGACATGAGTGTGAGTAAACTCCGGGAGTTGGTGATGGACAGGGAGGCCTGGTGTGCTGTGATTCATGGGGTCGCAAAGAGTCGGACATGACTGAGCAACTGAACTGAACACAAATCAATTGGTGTTCTAGGCAGTTTCTTATATAAATATACATGCAAAAAAGAAATACATGCAATATATATATATTTATAAAAGTATAATCATACCCTAAAGTTTGATAATCTTGTCCCACTGAAAAATTATATAAATATCTTTCCATATCATTAATTAGTTCCTTATCATCACTTTTAATAACATATGTAATATTCTAAAGTTACACAATAATTCATTCAAACAAATTTCCCATGACTACACATTTAGGTTGCTTTCAGCTTTTTTTGCATATGCCTCAGATGATAAAAAAAAAAGAATGCAACTGTCTACTTCTTCATAAAATTCATAATTTTCCATACAATGCTGTTACTTTATTCTTGGTATTACTAAGCTGTCTAGGTAAATAAGACAAAACAGCTTAGCCAATAAAAACTAGTCCTTCTTTCTTGGCATATAAAACTCAAGAGACGGTATGTGAATTAGCCCAATAAAGCTGTTATTTAAAAAAAACAAGAATGAAAAAATAAGAAGTTTCCATGTCTGATATAGCAAGCTAGAAGGAGATGGATTTGTGAGAAGCCCTGCTGGGTTTTATCATGTGTTTTTAAATTTTTGCAGATCTGGTAAGTAAAAAATGGTGAATCATTTTCATTTCTTTGGTTACTACTGAAGCTGAACTTTTTTTTCATGTTTACTGGCCATCAGTATCTCTTATAAACTACTTGTTTATGACATGTCCTTTGTAATTTTTTTATACTGGGTGTTTCCATCTTTAAACTGATTCATCAAAGCTCTTTACATATTTAGGATATTAATCTGTCTGTCCTGAATGTTATGAATGTATTTTTTCCTAGTTTGCTATTTGTCTAAATTTTCAACATTATATGGGCTTCCCAGGTGGTGCCAGTGGTAAAGAACCCAGCTGCCAATGCAGGAGATGCAAGAGATGTGGGTTCGATCCTTGGGTCAGGAAAATCCCCTGGAGGAGGAAATGGCAACCCACTCCAGTATTCTTGCCTGGGAAGTCCCATGGACAGAGGAGCCTGGTGTTAAGGTATTTTTACCGCCTGAGCCTCCAGGGCTTCCCATGTGGCATTAGTGATAAAGAATCTACCTGCCAATGCAGGAGACACAAGAGATGTGGGCTCAATCACTGGATCATTTGATCCCTGGGTTGTGAAGATCCCCCGGAGGAGGAAATGGCAACCTACTCCAGTTTTCTTGCCTGGAGAATCCCATGGACAGACAAGCCTGGCAGGCCACAGTCCACAGGGTTACAAAGTGTCAGACACGAAAGAAGCAACTTAACACACAAGGTGTTTTCACTGGGACAAGCTTAACGTTTTTATCTTGCCTAATCTGCTTCTCTTCCTTTATGAAATCTTTTTGACGTCACACTGGGTTTACCAAGGCTTCATTATCCAATGACATATGTTCACTTATATTTTTAGTACTTTCGTGGCCGTACTTTTTAACATGATGCACACTGGAGTTTATTTTGGAACTGGGGGTGAGATTGGGAAATAACTTAATTTTCTTTCCACATAGTTTTTTTTTTTTTTTCCCACATAGTTAATAAATTGTCACAATTCTGTTCACTGAAAAAATCTACCTTTTCCTGTGTGGATTTAAACTGCCATGGTGAACATATATACTTATGTTCTCAATTCTTAAATACACTCATGCTTATTTCTAGACTTTACATTCTAGGTTGCTGATCTAGCAGTAACACAGCTATGCTTGTCACACACAGCTTTTCAGTGCACTCTAGTATCTCAGAAGAAGCTTCTCTCTACGGCCTCAGTGCTCAGCCCGCACTCGTCCCTTCCCTCTCCTGTTATCCTATCTCCCTGAACAGTGGACAGCCCCCTCTGGCTGTCAGCCGGCACGCCAGAGACAAAGCGCAGCATGAGGAGACGGTGAGCGCAGTTCTGAAGATGTGGGTTACAGCCCAGAGGACTACCTTTGTCCTTTGCCACGTGTGAGAGCTTGGATCAAAGTCAGTTAACCTCCCAGGGTATCAGTTTCTGCATCGTGATTTGTAATTCGCCAACAATAAGCTCCATGGCTCACAGCAGGAAGTGTGGCAGCCAGGCTGTGGAAGACCCAGGAGTAAGGAAAGGGGCAGGCCCAGGGCCAGCCATCCATCTCAAGCTACCCTGAAGAGTTTGGCAACAAAAAGGAGCTCTTTTGTAGACCTCACCAGCCCTGAAACATCTCTGCTCACAGCACTTCTCTGCTACCTCACGCTTCATTTCGTCTATGAAGTATTTTCTTCTCCGCATGTGGTACCCGGTGCTGGTCCCCACCAATCTTTATACTCCAAATTCTAACCCCCTTATCTCCCCTGAGCGTGTACAGAGTGATTCCATTCTCTCTTGGATCCTGGTAAAGGAAATGTCAAATAGAACCCAAGGAAGAGAATGAAGATGAGAAAGAGCTACTGATATTTTTTTTTTAACTTCTGTCAACCTCAGATGATTTTACTAATTTTGCTGCTTTTCTCATTCTACAAAGAACTAGGTTTATATTCTTTTCAGGTTAAAAAAAAACTGTTTAGCAAGAGCAAATTACAAAATGTTTATTGTAAAGAAGAAAACATGTCACCTACTGGAAATATGTATGTACATATCAAAAAGAATTTTTAAATAAAAAACAAAACAGGTAATTCAGTATATATATTTTCACATCCTGCTTTTTTATTTGCTATTATTTTGGTGCCCCATTTTTTTTTTTTTTTGGCTGTGCCATGCAGCTTGTGGGATCTTAGTTCCCCTACCAGGGATCAAACCTGGGGTCCTGGCAGTGAGAGTACTGAATTTTAAACACTGGATCACCAGGGAAGTCCCCACTGGAGCCCCATCTTTAGATGTTAAGTCTCATATCACTAACATGCCTATCTGTTAGACATCCAGGCAGACTCCGAAAGTCTTATGCAAGGAGAGGTGCTTTCCCACCGCCCCATCCTACTTTAGCAGGAAGTCAGTAACAGCCAAAATGGAGCTAGCTGTCCACACTCAAGTCCTCAGTTGCAGCCACACCCTGGGTGGTATGGTGGGCTTTCCCGAAGCAGCAGAATTACCTGAGTTTCAGCTGTGAGCGCACCTCTCCAAACTCCAGCTGGAGCAGTTCATTGTAACAGGCCATGGGGCTGGGGTTTTCTATATACCTCTACAAACAGAAAGGGGATGGTGCAGATCAACACATGTGTACCTTTAAATTATTATACACATATATACAAAATAATGCTTTCCAACAGACTTCTCAATTTGGTACCTGAAATCTAAAAAATAATTTATCTTCAATGATAAACAGGAAATGAGATGAAAACTTACAATACCAAATCAGCATTTAAAAAATAGTGCTTGCACATATCTGAAAACATATTAAGAAACCACTGAATTGTACACTTTAAGTGGCTGAATTGATCAACTGTACCTCAATAAAGAAAAAAAGGCAGAAAGGAGGAAAGAAAGAAAAAGGAAAGTGTTTGCTGGAAAGAGAAAAAGATAAAATTAAAAATCTTTAAAATAATTTTTTAAAACTAGTATAATCATTTAATGAAACAGCACATGATGGTGTGGATGTGAACTTATATGGAATAATGCACAAGATACACTGTCAAGTGACATGAAGAAATGGAAAATCATGTTATAATTATTTATGTATTTCTCTTATAAAAATGTTATATCAACTTTAAAATAAATAGCTGAATTACATGGAAAATGAATGGTATCTCAATTAAGTAGTCAATAAATGAAATTAGGAAAAACAGGGTCCATTCTTGGGCATATCCAGAGAAAACCATAAAGACACATGCACCCCCAAGTTCATAGCAGCACGATATACAATAGCCGAGACATAGAAGCAGCCTCCTAAGTGTCCACTGACAGAGGAATGGATAAAGAAGGTGTGTGTGTGTGTGTGTGTGTGTGTGTGTGTGTGATGGAAGCAACCTCCTAAGTGTCCACTGACAGAGGAATGGATAAAAAAGGTGTGTGTGTGCGTGTGCGTGTGCGTGTGTGTGTGATGGAAGCAAACCTCCTAAGTCTCCACTGACAGAGGAATGGATAAAGAAGGGGTGTGTGGGTGTGTGTAATGGAATATTACTTGGCCATAAAAAATGAAACAATGCCATTTGTGGCAACATGGATAAACCCGGAGATCAGCATACTAAGTGAAGTAAAAGAAAAAGAAATATATCATAGGATACCACCTATATGTGGGATCTAAAAATATACAAATGAATTTACTCACAAAACAGAAACAAACTCAGACATAGAAAACAAACTTAACAGTTACAAAGGGGAATGGATGTGGGGATGGATGAATTAGGAGCTTGAGATTAACAGATACACCCTACTGTATGGAAGATAAGTAAACAAGGTCCTACTAGGTATCACAGGAAACTACATTTCAGTATCCTGTAATAACCTTTAATGGAAGAGAATCTGAAAAAGTATATACATGTATGTATATACTTTGGCCACCTGATGCAAAGAGCCAACTCATTGGAAAAGATCCTGATTCTGGGATAGATTAAAGGTAAAAGAAGAAGGGGGCAGCAGAGGATGAGAAGGTTAGATGGTATCACCAGCTTAATGGACACAGATCTGAGCAAACTGGGAGATGGTGAAGGACGGGGAAGCGTGGCGTGCTGCAGTCCATGGAGTCACAGAGAGTCAGACATGACTGAGCAACTGAAGAACAGCAAAAGCATATATGGATGACTAAATCACTTTTATGTACACTTTTCTGTGTTGTTCTAACACAACAGTGTGAATTCTTCCACTAAAAAAAAGCTCAAGGGAAAAAAACCAGGGCTTAAGAATACTTTTCTTTCAGTGCTTTGAGCTATGAGGATTTTTTGATGTCTACACGTTACTGGTAAAGGCTAGAATACGCAGAAGGAAGAAATTTATTAACGCAAGTCCCATTTATATTAACTTTTGGAGTCTCGTCACTTAGATGAGCAGTATGTTGTCCTCTTTCGAGCTGTACAAGCTCACGGTAAGCAAAGACACACTTGCACACCTCTTCACAGCTGTGTCATCGAGGTCATTCCCACTAGGCAACATTTCCCTTTACTAACGTCAAACAGCAGCTCAGCTAAGCTGACAAAGGATCATCCTCCACAGCAGAGGGACTTGCAGAGCCATGGCTTCCCCAGGCGCTCCTACTCCTGCGGACACTAACTATTCTCTACATGATGAAAACATCTCAACAAAGCAAAGCACATGGAAATGGGAAGCCTGAGCCCATTCCACTACCAGATTAAGAATTTCATGAAGACATCTTACATGTCACTATGTACTATCATGTAATTCCACTCTGCTGTAATATTTGTATTTATTTGCCCCTGTTTCTGTGGCATGCTCTTGATTTCACCTGTTCAACACATGGATAATATTCTATCTGGTGAGGTGGAAGTTGAGGTCTCAGAGGCAGGGTATATGCAGGCCACTATCCACAAGCCAAAGCCAGACCAGCCTGGGGCATGGGGCCTCTTGTGATGCTCCTTCTACCACCAGTGAAGGCAGACACCCCCCTGTTGGAACCGTGATCTTGTCTGTGTGTCAAGTAATCTAAGAGCCCAGCCCCTGGTTCATGTCTTAAAGCTGTATGATCCTCTACGAGGCCCTGAAGCTTCCAGAGCCTTCTTCCTTACCCGCAAAACAAGACCACCCTGCATCTCTGACCATGACCACAAGAAAGCACTGCACCTGCGGACTGCTGCATGAACACACAGCAGTCACTGCTGTCCCCTGGGAGGGAGAGCCAGGCCCGCTGGCCGTGGGCATGATGGTCCCTAGGCCTGCAGGCCAAACACAACCATTCCTAACCACACAAGTCAGAGAGGGGACATGCTCGCCAGCTCCCACCAACTGGGAGGGGTAAGACTGCTGGCCTTGGGACGTCCTGGCGGCTCGGTGGTTAAGAACCCACCTGCCAGTGCAGGGGACACAGGCTTGATCCTTGGTCCAGGAAGAGCACACATGTCACAGAGCAACCAAGCCTCACACCGCAACTACTGAAGCTATGTGCCCTAGAGCCTGTGCTCTGCAACGAGAGAAGCCACTGCAATGAGAAACCTGTGAACCACAACTAGAAAGGAGCCTCCATTCACTGGGACTAGAGAAAAAGCCTGTGTAGCACTGAAGCCCCAGTAAGGCCATAAATAAATAAAATTATTTAAAAAAAGAAAGAGAGAGCACTGGCCCTGCAGCTCTCTTCTCAGTGTCATGACGCCACAGGAACACCCAAGAACACTGCTCATCTGCACAGGCGCCCACCGCTGACAGGGCAGGAACAGCGGCGAGATTTCTGGGGCACAGAGCGTGCCGCCAGTAGACAAGAGGTGGGGGACCTGAGATGGACAGGGGTCCCCAGCTATCCTCGCACTTGCCTGGCCTCACCTGTTCTGCAGGCGAAATCCTGGGACAGGGAGCCATGTGTATTGTGTATCACAGAATGTGCACATCCAAACATTTTTATCCCAAAGGTGGATGTTCAGGTTAGAAAACCACTGCACGTTAACAGAAGCACTGCATCTTTCTCCCGCTGGCTGCTCCCCACCTTGCTGCCTCTGCTGGCTCTGTGTCTAAACATCCTGTCTTTCCTGCCCTTCTGCAGGTTTCATTCATGTCCTGAGGATTCCATGGGGTTGTGGAGGGTAGAGAAGGGCGTCAGGCCCAAGGAGCTTCAGGAATCAGGCTGCTGTTCCTTCAGCTTGAGCAGCAGCCGGTCTCTTCACCCCAGCCCAGCCCACAAGAGGGGTGGGGCCACTGGCTCCCAAGCCAACTCAACCTGCCTCTCCCCAGAGCACCTCACCCCCACCGGGCCCCCCACCCCCAGTGCATCTCCGTCCCTGGCTGCACATCAGAACTCCCTGCAATCTAAAAAATAACACCAGTGTGCAGGCCCCTCCCCAAACCAACAGAACCAGGGCCTCCTCAGGGATGCTTCTTAGGCAGTTCTAATGCATGACTAGGGCCGAGAGACACCAAACCCTAACCTCAAGATTCTGGTTCAAGATGGCAAAGTAGAAGAATGTGCACTCATCTCCTGCGAGAGCACCAAAATTGCAACTAGCTGCTGAACAACCATCAACAGGAGGATGCTGGAACCCACCAAAAAAAAATACCCCACATCCAAAGACAAAGAAGGAGCCCCAGTCAGACGGTTAGAAGGGGTGCAATCATGATAAAATCAAATCCCATACCTGCCAAGTGGATGACCCACAAACTGGAGAACAATAATACCAAAGAAGTTCTTCTGCTGCTGTGAAGGCTCTGAGCCCCATATCAGGCTTCCCAGACTGGGGGTCTGGCAAAGGGACCGGGAATCCTGAGAATCTGACTTTGAAGGCCTGCGGGGTTAGATCACAGGACTGCCACAGGACAGAGGGAAACAGAGATTCCACTCTTGGAGGACACAAACAAAATCTGGTGCATACCACGACCCAGGGGGAAGATGCAGTGACCTCACAGGGGACTGAACCAAACCCACCTGTTGCTGTTGGAGGGTCTCCTGCAGAGGCGTGGGTCGGCAGTGGCTCACCAAGGGGACAGGGGCACTGGCAGCAGCAGCCCTGGAAGGGCCCCTTGGAGGGCGCCATTAACCCTGCCACAGAGCCTGCAGCCCCCAGCCCTGGGCTGCCTCAAGCCAAAAAACTAACAGGGAGGGATCGAAACCCCTCCCATCAGCAGATAATTGGATTAAAGCTTTACTGAGCCCTGCCCGCCAGCAAGACCCAGTTTTCCCATGCCAGTCCCTCCCATCAGGAAGCTTACACATCAGGAAGCCTCTTAGCCTCATCCACCAAAGGGCAGACATAAGAAGAAAAAACCAGCCTTTTTTATGAAGATGGCGCCGAAGGCGAAGAAGGAAGCCCCTGCCCCTCCTAAAGCTGAAGACAAAGCAAAGGCTTTGAAGGCCAAGAAAGCAGTGTTGAAAGGTGTCCACAGCCACAAGAAAAAGAAGATCTGGACGTCACCCACCTTCCGGCGGCCCAAAACACTGCGGCTCAGGAGGCAGCCCAAATATCCTTGGAAGAGCGCCCCTAGGAGAAACAAACTTGACCACTATGCCATCATCAAATTCCCCCTCACCACCGAGTCAGCCATGAAGAAAACAGAAGACAACAACACACTGGTATTCGTTGTGGATGT